TACACGATTCTTTGATTCAGCCCAATTACCACTCGTCATATCCCCTACCCCAAACGACTAATAGAACTGGTTACTCCCAAAACTTGGCCCAAGCGGTCGCCCAAAGAATTGGTGGCCCCGAAAAAAGTGAATGGGCCAAAAAATTTGGCTTCACATGACCGAAAACAAGTCCTTCACTTCCCATTCCCACGGTATACTCCGATTTGTTGATCAGGAAATTCTTTTGTTCTTTTTAATGCATTGATTTGGGGGGTATATTAGAGCCGAAAAGTCATGGCCATCTCCTTGTAGCCCAGGAATGTCCGGCGCATTAGTCAGTATGTTCACTTGCTGCCCAACTATTTAACGGTCTAATTGCCGTTTTGATATGTAATTGTGGGGGCGAGGGGAAGCGAATCGTGTGGGGCCCAGAAAAACTTGCAATTTATTTACCCTGGAGGGGTAGACGGCCCTGGGGGGGTAATACGTTTTTCAGATTCGCAATATTAGCCCCGAGATTTGCTTGTATTTTTCCGGGGGTAATAAATAGCGCTCAGTAAATATATATGTTGCCCTTGGAGGAGGAAAGGCTGAGGAAAAGGTGAGACTTTCAGAGCTCTTTCTCCTTTTCTAAACTCGTTAGTTTTTGGAATGACAGGTGCCCTCCGGGTCAACATGTTTGACGTGACGAGTGGGCATTAGCCGTGCTGCTACTGCTTTTCGCTACAAATTCCGCCCGTTCGCCCCGAGTTTTGCTAACGAGAAAAACATCTGACCTTGCCTGGAGCCTGGGCCTTTCGAGATAGTTTTTAGACTTTTTCGCCATTTCACCACAAATTCGGCCTCGATTCTGGGAATTTAGGCCCTGATTTTTGCCCAGAATTGAGGAATTCAACTTCCGGGGAAAGTTGCGAAGCATTAGACACATCAAACCTCAGTTTCTCAAGTGGCTAATAAAATTTTCATGATATTCCGTTGCATAATGGCCTCTTCTGCCCTCTCTCCGGCCCCAAACTTGACCCTGGCATTTTTAGTTTCATAACGAGACTTAAGCCAACATTAGTTTCCTCCCAAATTCTATACAATCTTTGTCAACAAGTACTTTTACTAGCTACTACAGTAGTCCCCTATCTTTTTTCCACCAGCTCCCCTCCCACCCCACCCTCGTGATTACCAATAGAAACCCCTTTGTGCTTCCGCTCGTTTTTCGGTTAATCCTCCTATCACAGGAGTCGTGTTGTTTACAATTATTTACACCCACCCTCACTAATATTCTCGACCCATTTTTCGTGACCCCCCATAGCCGGCTATTCACGCATTTTTTCGACCGGATTATATGCACAATTTGCCCGAGATCTCGCTGTGGTAAACATGAATACTTTGTGATGAATATTGTGCTGCTTTCGGACGGGGAACTTAAAGATTTGGCGAACGATCTTTGGAGGAAATCCCGGGGCCAAAGCCTCCGACTTTGGTGCCCACACGCGAATCATTAATGAAAACTTGGAAATATGATGAATTATTGCCCGGTTCCACAGCTCGAAACCTAGGTGGCGCTTTGGATTTCTCAGGTCAACCGCTTTTTGAGAGAAAACTGGCCCGGGAGTGCTTGCAGAATTTTGCAAGTGTAATGAGCAAATTTTAGGACATTGACCCGACTCAATCTTAGAAAGCCCACCCTGAGCCCTGGCTAACCAGAATTGCCGGACCGCGATTAAATTATACTATCCCGGGGTTCACCTTTCTCCGTGCCAAAATAAGGTGCTTCGGCCCGTCTATAGTGTGTTTTTGCTTTTCCGATACTTGATTAGATGATCTGCACTTACTCCCTTGGGCTAAAAGCTAAGCGATCTCTTGCAAGGTTTCAATGCGCCCCTTCTACGGCCATCCTCCCCTCCTTAAAAGTGCGTCCGAATTTCATTGCCCGCGGAAAAACGGCGCGTGTGCATCCTGGGCGCTTCCCCTTCCTCCCCCTAGCTGTGATTGTTTTCAGCTTCATCATCCACAAATCCCATCGACTCAGACATTACTCAATCCTTGACACGTCGAACACCACGACGTCGCCGTCGTGCTCTAATCTCAAAGCGACCCGATTGTTTTGGGGGCACCCAGTCAATTAAAAGGGGTTAGAACCAATTTATCGCATTCGAGGGCCTTCCTATCTTTTACTAGCGAAGCTCTGCTCCTCCTCGTCCTCTCCTTTCTCCACCCATTGCCACACCGATCCCATTTCATTTTGAATCTCAGCCACCTACCACCAACGCGCCGTCGGCGCCAAAGAAAGGATTCGAATTTTAATTGGATTCTTGAAGACGTCCCGTGCCCTACCCTCACCATAATTACACCCCTTGCCATCCCGCTCATTTCGTGTCATTTTCGGGATTGTATATGTGTCACATTCAAATTGCATCTAAAAAATTGGCCTCCCTGCCGCGAGATATACCTTATGTGGTAGCGCATGCGGGGGTCTATTTCAGAGGCGTGTCCCCACCCTTTGGATGGCGTGAAGCATGTAATTTCTTAGGAAGGAAGGGCTTCGGCAAAGGTTCTTTGCTGCCAGAAGTTTGAATTTTTAAGGTACCGGAACCAGCCGGCGGGGATAAGGAAGAGTCTAGCAGTCTCCCCTTTCAACAATTCAACAATTATCTGACTTCCGGGTGGGTGCGTCTTGGCTTTAGACCATCATTTTTGATTTATGGTCTCACTATTTTGATTTTTTTACAGTATCTGCACCGACTAGTAAAAAATGGTCAGCTCCGGGGCATGTTTTGCCAGGCACAACAATCAGTAGGCAATCCATTTCCCCCTGGGGGATATACTCGAGACCAAGCTTTTCAATTCATTAATACATTCCCCGGGGTGTATTCTATTCCAATCCACCTAAAAACGTGTCATCTACACGTTTCGAAGAAAAGCAGGTTAATTCAGGGGGTTCATCACTCTTGGAAATCTTTAATCGGCTCCACAAAACCCTGGAGCGACTTCCCCAGGAATTGGGGGGCGGGGAGTCGGTGATGATGCTGATGGCCGCACAATTTGTGCATTATTCATTTTTGGAGGTAAAAGGAAGAGGAGTGGGGGGCTCATCTTTGCCTTTCACCACAGCAGCCACTCTTCCCTTTTACTTGCTTCATCTTCATCATTGCCTCTGACCGACGTCTCCATAATTTGTTGCGTCTCAGCGCCAGCGTCATCCCATTCCATTTTCAATATAAGAAAGCCTCTACAATAAATGTCCAAAGCTAGCCTCTTAGCTGCCAGGAGACCACGACCCAACCCCGGGGCGTATCTCTAACGAAATTGCGTCCCAACCCCGCTGGAAAAATGGAAGCCATCAATTTCCGTTGTGTGTTGTATCCCCGGTGCCTTCCCCCTTTTGCCTTTGAAATCCAACCCATTCAAAATCCTTGATGGCTCATTACTATTCAAAGTGCGCTGGCGCACACAGGATAAGCGAATAATAATAGGTGTTGCGATTATTCCGGCTTGGCTGAGGTGTAGTTGTTCTCAGTATCCACCCGGACGTGCGTTTTCCACACCATGTTTCCCCTTATTCTGTGATAAAGGGCACACCAGGATTTTGCCGCCGAGAACGCTGATGGCCTTTGCACAATCTTAGGCGCAACAAATCCGTGGCATTTTTGGATCGGATTATAGCGGTAGACCGGTGCGGCTTTCAGCTAATACTCGACTCACAACACTTTTCGTAGTTGTCGAGGGCATCCCCACGAATTGCGGGTTTTCCATCACCTAAATCCGGTAGTGAACCCTAGATGCTGCTCATTGATGCATGGGGGAACACATGTGCTGTCTGCCACCCATCACTTTCACCCTCCACAATTCATCCTTTATCTTCCTATATTTAAACCTCCCATTTTTAAGGTTTCAACCCCTTTCCAACAGCGCTAATGTGTGTTTTGGGGGTACCCCCGGCCACCGCCTACGGTATCTAAATTGAGATCCGGGTTTTGTTTGACGGGGCCCCCAGCCCGCGGGGCAAGATCCAGCAGCAGCGCCCAAATTTGCAATCGACCCGCATTTCCAGCTTCACCCCAAAAATATATTTATCTTTGACCAATGTTCAAAGAAGCTGCACTTGGGAAAAATAATATAGCCTCCCTTTCGATCTCTTCTGAGCATCGGCCCCCTGATGAGCAGCCGTTTTCTGAAGAATTACGATATTTTTGGGGTGGGATGGAGGGGTGGGGCAGCTTGAGATGGGCAATTCATCGCGGTCATGCAATGTTTTGGCGCGGCGTGATGGGCAAGTCATCGGTGGTGTCGTGGAGGGGGGCACATAAAATTTGTGGATGTTGGTGCGTGTGTGTGGCTTCTAGTGGAGGAGGAGGAAGAAGAAGAAGCCGACAATCCGAATTGGATATCCCATTCGAGCGCGTTGACGTCGTTCTGCTGCACGGGGGTTAGAAGGTCAAGTTAGGGGACCGGAAGCGGCTGGGCTTCATCTCATTGCAAGAAGAAGCAATCTCTTTTTTTCTGAGACTTAACTTGACTCTACCTCCGTTGGAATCCCTTGCCTCCTTTTCCTCGACGTGTCCCCAGCCCAAAATTCCATCCAGATCCCCCCATTTCGCGGACAAAGCGCATTTCCACCACCCGACTCCCATACCTGGAACTCAGATCAAATAGAGCCCTTCCCTACTTCGTATGTTGAAGTTCACCCTCGTCCTCTTTTATCTTTGTTGCCTTTCTTCGCAATTACCCCCGGCTTCTTCACCCCTTTCTTTGCACTCGACTCCCAATTAGAAATCCCAAGCAAAATCGTCTAGTCTTCCTGAGCCACGTTTTTTTATAGTTTCAGGCGATGGAGTTTTAAATTTTCATTATTTAGAATTCCTTGAGCATTTTTTATAAAATTTGACTGCAATATCTCCTTCTTATCACTTGTTATTGGATCGAGGGTCGATTACGGGTCATTGGCTCGAATTTTTCAACTTCCTCTTTCCATTGGAGGGCCCTAAGAATTCTCAGGGTGTTGATGAAGTCTAGCATTTCCAGGGACCATGGATGAAAAACCGCAGCAGCTAACACTTCCTGATGCCGTGAAGATCATGCGGCAATGTGATCGCTTTTTTCATGGGCTCGGCGTTACGACGAAGGAGTGCTTGAAGTGTGTTTTATACCTTGAAGCTTCACCAAATTTATCAGCTCCAATGTATTCAAATGCATTCATATTTTTCAGCGTTTTGCTGTATAACTATAATAACGAAAGTACACCCACTCGTGATATTTGCCCGGTCGATCAACCAGGTATATTTTTGGATGATGCATCTAATTATCGCTTCACCCCCGCCCCAATGTGACCGCATTAATTTGAATATTCAGTACCCCGAATTGACCACAACCCGCAAATCTTCTATTCCGACTGCGGGGCCTTTGAGATCGGTAAGTAAGAGCATGTAATTTCCTGGCTCCCCGGAAGCGAGCCCCAAAAGTGCCCCTAACCGACTAATAATGTACGGCCCCGAACACTGGCCTTTGAAAGCCACAAATTGTCGCAATGGGCCATGTGCAGGGCCCACTAATTGGCGCGCACATCCAATTTGGGAAGAGCCTTGAAAAGTCTGAAAGGCCGGAACTTGCAACCTCTCCCCCCCGGAAAAAGCCTTCATGTTTTTGCAACTCAACCATATACCACGCGTGTAACCAACGTGGGAGCGGAAAAATTAGCTTTCTCACGCCAACTTCCCTCGATGATAGACGCTTTGCATGAAGGGCCCAATTAATTTTGCCCACACCGTCCGCCCAATTAACCGCCTCGGAACCCGAGAATCTAATTGGTCTGGCCAAGAAGGCTCCATCATAAAGCAAAAAGCAATTCGTGCAAAAAAAATTACCGTGTCTTTAGGTATACTGAAGTATGCGGTACCTCCGCTGATGATCTTGTGCCTGATCGGCAACTTCTTAAACCTGATGATCTACAAGTTGTCCTACTTTGATGGGAGCAGCTCGGTGCATTTCTTGAGGGCAAAAGCGCTGGCGAATACGATATTTGTGCTCTCACGGTTATTTGAGGTAGGGGGTGTGAAGCGGAAGTGGAATGAAATTATCAGGTCATTCATGCTTGGACTCCGGTCGCCGATCCATTCTGGGAACCAATCTTCTGGCACACGAGAGCGTATATTATTACTATCTCAAACATCAGTGGAACGATAGCAACATGGTAGGGATTGGCAAAAAAAACTGAATTTTGGGGGTTTTTCCAGGTTGACCCTGATGGTGACGTTTGAGACTGTACTCTGTGTGATGGTACCATTTGTGTTCCGGCAGTACTGTACAAAGAAAATGACGTATACGGTGTTGGTGATAGCCACACTTGCAGCCACCGCGCTTCAGATGGTGTTTTTGGTTGTTAGAAGTGTAAGTTTTTATCTAGAAATTACGACTAGTTAGTATGAGGACGCCTTCTAAATTGAGAGTGACATCAAGCATTTCGACATTTCCATAACCCGCCTGTTTTTTGACCACTTCCACTGTCCTCCCAAAGGTTCAGTGTTCGTGCCAAATCCATTTGAGCCTGGAAACGTGTCCTCCCATCATCCTCCTCCACCCACAATTCCCTAGGGGTCCAAGGATAAATTTATTCCATCGCCCGGGCTCTTTGGGCCTTAAGATGGCCTCCGGACAAAAGGAAACGGATGGGCTTAAAATTGCTAGCGGCCGATAGGTAAACAGGGCATTTGAGGTGTGGGTGGCGCCACCCAAGGGGGGGGTTGATATTGACCCTTTAGAGGATTGGGGATTCCCTCTTTTGTCAACACATTCCGAGATTGAATTCGGAATCCGGGAGGCTAAAAGTCAAGGGACCAAACTAGGGGTGAAACTTCTAAAAAATTTGAAAAAGATAAGGAGGGCCGTGTAGGTCAGGGATGAGAGTGGGCCAATCCGATTTATGCTAATTGGCCCACTTGATCCTTTCAATTTTTAGACTCAACACTTTGCACAAATCAGCTATGACGAGACCGGTAACTGCTTCTATGGCAAGATCTACTACTCGCTAGAGCTGCGTAGCGCAGCACATCTTTTACTCCAGAAAACCTATGTCATTGCACAAGTATGAAATTATTCCAGTTTCCATAACTTGTGTCCAGATTGCCCTTGTCATCGTTATCCCAACAATTGCGATGCTTGTCTGCACAATGATCATTGTCAAACAATTTTCCCTAAAGGTTAGCATTAATTTGATTTCCCCAATGCATAAGAAGTTTTGTAAACTGAAGACTAGTTTCAGGATCTTGGCGAAGCCTTCTCTCAACGCAGAAAATGCGTTATCCGGCTTACTGTAACGACAACGATGTCGCATCTTCTTCTCGAAGGACCCGCCACGCTTACACACGCTGCGGTGGCTATTGATGGTAAGGCAGTAATCCATCTTTACTTTAGCATCAAAAACCAGCACATTTGGTTCAATCTAAAGCTAATTTTCTGCCATTTGTATTTTGGTAAAACCAGCGCTATATTGGGGCCCCAGTTACAATACGATTATTAATCCATTAATCCGGGCAATTGACAAGCCAACCTAAACCTAACCCGCGTGGTGATGAATTCCCGAGGTGAACCCAAATGCGTCGAATGAATAATCCGATTCTCGACTACGTGCCCCGTCCCCTTTTCCTCGCACATCATTATGAGTTATTTTGTTGGGCTCGTGCCGTGAATTAGGCTCGAAAATGACTGATTAAGGGGGAATGGATTCAGATTTGGGCTTTAATATGGTGCGTGCAAAAAATCTGGATTGGGTCTTTATTGCGCTTGATTTCAAGCATGAATATTCATAGGTAGACAATTTTGGATCCGGCTAATTGTAGCGCTCAAAACAGTACATTCCAAGTTTCAACAAGGCGCTGAAAACCTAATAATTTTATGATTTAATTTAGGAAGCGAACACCCGTATCTGTGGTGTTTATTCATCCACAGCAACAATTTGCTATCACTCATCAACGCAACAATCCCGTTCTTCGTTTTCTACGTCTGCTCAGAGCAGTTCAGGCATATGACACGAGTGAGTTCCCTATAGCTATTTTAATAAAGCAACTTAAGATGAATATAAATATATTATAATTTATCTTTTAGATGTACGTCATGGCACTCTTCCATTGGAAAGATAAGAGCCGAAAACATGCATATCTCCTACAGGTATCCCTGAAAATTGTTGAAATTACGCTCAATTTAGGCTGGTATGCGACCCCGTAATACACGATCAAACGGCACCGAAATTACCGTAGCCGAAGTCCAAACTCATCTCTTCTCGAAAGTCTCCCATGTTAACAGCATTAATAGTGTCTAGCCCCCCTTTCTTCTATCGTATCCCATTCATATCTGCTGTTCAAATCTCCTTTCACGGGTCGACGTCTGGAGTACATGTACGTACTAAACATCCCGGTGTCCGCTGTCCATTTCTCACATTTCTTGATTGAATAAATAAATAAACAAAAATAGATTGTTTTGAGCAGTGGGGAAAAGGGGAGGCTTGCAGGGGTAATTGGTGTTGCAACAAGCACCTGGCGCTTCCTCGTACTGATATATTATTCAGTGCCCTTTGGAAAGTGGACACGCGCAAGCACTTGTCGTTTTGAAGCGTTGAGAATGCTGGGGTTGGGTTGTTATTGTAACCTCACGTAACGGCTGAATATTTTAGGGTGATTTTGTGTCTTCGATTCAGTGATGTTATACATAGTGTGACCCGGAAAACGGGTCTGTTAATGCTAGGGCATTTTTAGGCGCTAGGTGAAGTATTAGAATTTTTAATGACTACCGCATACCCTCACAAATAACCGCATCTTACCAACTTTTACAGACTTGTTGTCAACGTTTTATTGCATTGCTTATTAGTTTGGTTCCGTAGAAGAGAAATTGCACAAAAAAATTGCACACCGAGAACGGCGAGGCCGAGGAAGACAAAAGTGGGAGGAAAGCTCATCAAGGCATTAAAGGTATCACTGCCATTGGGATTGTGAAGAGATTTAGGGAGTGGGAATGAATGGATTTGCGTCGCTTTTAAAAAAGTTTAGGCGCGGCGGAGGCGGATTCTGCGGCCAACCAGGAATTGGGGTTCTTCTTCAGATTCCTTTTGTCCGAATTCCTGGGGTAGGGAGACCTAGGAGCCTTTGTATTAAGATAAAGTTAGTTTTGAATACCTCTCCATTTCCTTGGTCATTCTTTTCATCAGGAATAATTCGGGTGCCCATGATGTAGTCGAAGCCAGGGCCAGTCTGCTGCTCCTCATCATCCTCACTATCGGTGAACTCCTGGAAAGGCAGCTTTAGACTCGATTCCGCTTGGAGGGGATAAAATTGGTTGGATAGATCCTACGCGTTTTCTTACCTCCTCGAACTGCTCCTGAGCGGTGGCCGGACGGTGGGTAGTCGTCCTCCTGGTAGTAGTAGTCACAGGCCTCCTGGTGGTGGTGACGTGCACCGGCTTGAACGTCTGCTTCGGGGTAATGACAATACGGGGCTTAGTGGTGGGTCGGAATTGGACGGTCGAAAAGACTTGGCGCGTGGTTGGCTCCTCAGTTGTGGTAGTTGTGGTGGTGGTTGGCGCTTCCCGCGGCTGGTCCTCCTAAAAATAGAAGCATGCGTTTGTTCCACCTTGAGCATACAGATAGTATGAGTATATAGCGTATTTTTATTTTATAACCAGCTTACCGTGTCGACAACAGCAAAGTTGTTCAGCATGCAACGTGTGAAGAACTTCAGTGCGCAACCAAACTCATCACGGTCCTTGACAAGGAAATGGCAACGGCAGCTGGGGTGAGCCCTCCATCCAGGCATCCCCTAAAAAAATACAATTTTCATCGATTTAAACTAACATGTCCGCACTCAGGATCGCTGTCAGGGTGAGCCACAGCGTCCAGCCACGGGTTGAGGAACGGGCAAACCGGCTTGGTCTTCAGCGGCTTCAGGAAGTTCGGCTTGTCAAAGATATCAGGAAGAGCGGGCTGTTCCTAAGCACAAACGTATTAGTTTTTGAAAGTTTCTCACGCTTTCTTTGGTGAGTGGGCTGAACGATTTCTCGAAGGAGATGTCTGATGACTTGGGGTGGGTGGCGGGGAAACCGGCGGGGTGGAAGTCGATGCCGGATGATTCGACTTGCTGGGAGCTGCTGTCGGCGGTAAAATCGGCTTGGCGAGCGACCTAAATTAATTTTTTTTGGAAAGCTTTTATGATATGTCATACCAGTGCTCGTGATCTGTAAGGAAGAGATTGGCGGCCGGCAGCGAGGGCATAGCCGTAGCTGGCTGAAAACTTAATTAATAATCTTTTAGATTTAAATGCTGAATATTCTATCAACCTTCATGACAACCATTGATAAATCACGTCCTGACCGCAAACACAGATTTTCAATCCGTATGAAGCCGCCGTATCCCCTGTCCCAAAGTGCTTCCCCCCCTTCCTTCTCCGCTCCCACAGATGACATATAGCACTATGGAACGCTACCCCGGAACTATCGTCGGCTTCCCCGCCTAACCACAGAGGTGTCAGCGCGCATCCATCACCAAAGCGAAAACGACGCACAAAGCAACAATCCCCTTAGCCCCCCCACCCAAAAAATGAGCGCGGGCGAAAGTCACCCATCTCGGATACACCTTCTCCCCCCCCCGCTCCCCTTTGGCTGACCCAAATGCTCAAATGAATTAGACAGCAGTTCGTGGATGCGATTTTTTTCGAAACAAAGCCAAAGGCGAGCATTCTATATTAGATGGCCTACCGGATGCCGCGCAGCCGATGAGGATGGCAAAGATAAATAGTCGGGGATAGACCATGGCCACAAGTTTTCTGAAAAATAAACACATTTAAACTTGCATCGAAATATGAGAAAAACTTGCAGAATAGCATACAACAGCAAAAAAATAACGCCTCGGGTCAGACGATGTGCGTGAGGGAGGATGGAAACGGGAATAAAGCTAAATTTAAATTTCCTAAAAATAATAAATGTTTGATAGCCTCCGATCCAATAAAAAATTTGTCTTGGGCGTGAAACTTCACAGACGAGACGAAAAAGCGAAGAAAAGTACCCAATATTGTTTCATTAAAAACTCTTGAACCCGAGTTTCTCGTTTGAGGGATACGGTGGGTCCGGAGAGAGCGGCGCTTTTCTGAGTGATAATGGTATAAAAACGTTAATTACTTTCAGAATGAACTTGGTTACAGCAGCTGCTTAAAAGCCATCCAACATAGAGAATATGATGACAAATTATTTCTACATATTCTTAATTAAGCATCTTCGGCAAAAGGAAATTGTGGAAGCCAATTCTTAGGTCAATCGCCTAAGCTAAGGACCTCGGGGAAGACTAGCCAAAAAATGTTGCGGAACACCTAGAAGTAGATTGAGAAGCTAAAGTGAGGTGTTTGAACGCGAGGCTCGATGGGACGGGATGGGCGACTCCGGAGGGGAGGGCTCGGATCCGAACTGCTTGCCCAGTGAGACGATAAGGCTACGAGCCCTCGGGATCAGATAGAGCCTCCCTCCTCATTCTCCACCTCCTCCTCCTCCTCCTCGTACACGCCTACTTTTTGAGGTAGCTGAGGACCCTGGATGGGACAATGGCCGGTGTTTTTGGCAGAGTGCAAAAGACCAGGAATAACAGCTAAACAGTGTCTCGAGTTTAAAGGTGGAATGATATGCGAAATAGCGAAGAGATAAAATGGAAAGCGTGCGTATCACCAATTATGCCATCAAATCTAGCAGTCTCTGAAAAAAAAACGATCCTGATAATCCGGAGCTTAACAAAAATCCCCGGACCATCTGACCCGCCGTGGAACACCAACCCCAGCGGCGCCAAGGCAGACAGCTCGGCGCCGCTCCCATGATGAGACCGAGGTGTGAGAATGTCTTTTTAGGGGGAAGCGAAGCTGTGATAAATCCCTCATTCCCATCCCAACCATTCGATCCGGTACGACAGCTCAGCTGAAGTTACCCAAAGAAACGCCGACCCCCGGGCACTTTCGGTCCGGTGTCCCTCCTCGTCGGGAGATAGATGATGGACCGCCTACTATCAGCCACGATGTTCAACGAATTGGGGTGTAGCTACGTTTTATGAAGATAAAGTCAACGTGAAAAGAATAGAAAATCGGGTGGAAAAGTCGGGTACAAATCGTAAGGAACACTGACACGAGCTACCCTATTCCCTATTTGGCGGCCAGGAACAAGTTCAAAAATGGCTCGCCGCAAAAGGCACCCCGCTGAGCACGAGCCAATCCCAGCGGCATCAAGGATAAAGGCTTAATGGCCCAATATGTACGGGCGCTCCTACGGATCACAAAAAACCTCTAGGTGACCTGAGGTGGGGGTCGTGTGGTGGTGGACGCTGGTTTGGAAGGGGGGAGGAGGAAAAGTCACAGCGACACGCTTCTCCTGATCGACGGCTTGTCATTCCACCATCCTGATTGTGGACCGGCGCTCCAAAACTGAAATGCCCCTTGCGGGGCAGCCAGCGGCATGTTGCAGAAAGTGAGAAGCTTTTTTCAGCTAGGTGTATTTGATACCTAGATCATAGTTTAGTTCAGGAACAACCGGTTATGGTTATAGTCTAGAGAAGCGAGGGGGCTAGAGGGAGCAGAACCTATTGTAATCGCATAACGCCCAGTAGTAAAATCGAAACCATTTTTATCGCGTTCTTGCTTTTGGCGTTAAAAATTATCTTATCAAAAATTGCGAAAATGCTTGCCTTTTGTGGTCAAAAATGTATCAACGAAAATAATTTCAATTTTCACATTTTTTCAGATTATTTTATGAATAGCTAGCAGTTAAACACTACTCTATGACGATAAAAACACTATTTCTTATTGAAATGTGCGCACAAACGGAAAATAAAAATTAGCCCCCCCCGGCTAACAGCACAGTATCTGATGCTCATGGAAACAACAAATTTAAAACATGTATTAAATACAGAGCCAATTGATCGCTATCCTCGTCAAAAACCAGACAACACAATGAAATCATGACCAGACAGCTAAAAATGACCATGGAGGTACATTGGCTTCCGGTGGGACTAAACGAGCACAAATTCGGTCAATCGCGCAAAAACCCACTGGCGGCTGAAGACCGGGAATAATCCCCTCAAAACACGCATCTCCCCCCAACATCTTGAACCTGCGTGAACCGTATGCGGTTTAGTGTGCAGCCTAATTGCCGCATTTTCCAGCAGCGCACGGAACAGCCCCCCGCAGGGTGGATAGCCGATTGCGATTGGGAGCAGCAATATTTTGTGTTTTCCTGCCCGACACTATCTTCCCTTTGATACGTTGCGATTTGGGCTCATGCTCATTCTCCCCAGCATTAAATTGGGTTGACGGCACTCCTGTAGGTGATCTCCACCGCAAGGGGGGCTTCCATTCTCATCCTGGCAAACGATTTGCGATCGCTCTGCCGTGCTCGTTGCACTTTGGGGCAAATGACTCATGGACAAAGAGGCGCCCTTCGAACTGGAGCTCCTGGAGGTAGCCGCTTTTTGGGGAGGGGGACCTCCGAATTCCGGGCGGATCGTAATGTTTAGGGAGGGCGAGCTGGGCCCGATAGGATCTCCGGGCAAAAACCTGGGGTGGGCCCGGTCCTTCTTCATCCTCGTTTTCACAAATTACCCTGCCTGCGCCCGGAGGGGGACGTTGAGGGTGAAGTGCGCAAAAAAGTGGCACAAACCACATTCCGGCCAAGCCACGCATCCATACGGGGGGACCGTGTCCGCGTTCGCGCGCGCCGAATAATGTTATTTGCCTCCTCCTAACCCCCGGAGGCGCTTTAGGGCACAACACAAAAAACTGGCTCAATCTGCTCGGGGCGCTGCCTCGAAATGGATGCGGGTGTGAATTTATTGGGGTCCGGTGTGCAACGCCAATGCCGGTATGTTTTTGGTGGTCGTGCCGGAAAGACGAACTTAGGTGGCGATCAACGAACACTTCATTGTATTTAGAGTTGCATTAAGTGTAGATTTGAAGTTGTTAGGTCCTGTACGCAACGACAGGACCGCTACGTTTTTGGGTGGCGGAACCGGAAAGCCGGAAACTCCACTTGAAACCCGACGAACTAACTAACGCTTGATTGGAAGCTTGGTTAAATGAAAATGTGAATTCCGGTGGTTTTAAACAATATTTATGCTTAATTCGATGGACTAGCAAACAAAACTGGGCAGTCAAAGACCAGAACACGTAAAATTGAAAATGAACAGGGTACCCGATACAAATTACCTGGCATGAAGGAAAAGAACTGACCAAACCCGCAAAAATTTCGGTGAGCACGAGGGATAATGAGCAAATGTGGCTGGGAAATTAATAGTTTTGGCGTTGAAATTGGACTTTTTCGATGGCATTGTCGTGATCGTCTTCGTAGTTGTCTTCCCTGAAATCGGTTTTGATTTGTAAAACGTGTTATTATTTCACTTATGAAACTAGGAAAACCGAAATGCAAAAAAAACGTACATATCAGAATCTTCTCTAGCTGTATCTTCATCAATCGGAGCATCATCTGCCTTTCTTAAATGTTTTTTCTCATCACGATCGAAGTAAATAGTTTCATTTTGCTTTGACCCATCGATCACCACGTAGAATTCTGGCTCCTGAAAACGCGTATTGAAGGGTTTCAAAATCAATTAACGAACCGGATATCGCTGCCGTATCATCGTAACTCTTTCATTAAATAACGCCACCGCATATTCATACAATTCCCAGTCCAATGCATTCAATTCTTTGATCTTCCTCATTTGGGCAAGACTGACAACCGTGTTGTTGGATTTGCTTTTACTCCATTCCGATAGCTTCTTGGTAAATCTAAATGCCTATGTTTCTAAGCCAATACAAAGATTCTTACCGTAATCCAAACAATCTTTGAAACAGAAATTGGCTCTCTTCCATCTTTTCCTTAATTCCGAAATATGCCAGTCCTCGAAGATTTTCCTTTGCGCTCTCCAACATTATTCGATCTCTTTCTGCTGCCGGCAATTTATTTGAATAGCACCCAATCTTTGTGAGATCAGCTAGCATCCGGGTTTGTCTAAAAATTAACATATATATGACGTGCAGAAGCTATATAATACCTATTAAAAGCCAAATTATGCGGGCAGTCCAGAAATTCATCCAGAGTGACACCATCCCAGCCAATGTCAAAATCATAGCAGGAGGGTAGTTCGTCGAGGGTAGGTTCTCGGCCCATGCAAATATGTCTGAAAAGTTGTTAAAATCTGCATCAAAGGCAAAGATATTACCTTGAAGCCATCCACGTCGCACCGCGATTTACATGTCGATATTCAGAGATTATTCTCGTAAACGGATCCCTCAGAAAAGTCGCGCCGAAAAGCCTTCGCTTTGTGTGCGTACCTAAAATAAATATTACTTAATCATTTTTGTTTTCTTTACCCTCTTTCCGATCCATTTCACGATCTACACATTTTGCAACGAAAAGTTCGGTAAAATCTGCGTGCAGCCCGCAAAGCCAGCCGGTAGAATAGCGCGAAAATAGCCAAAGCTGAAGGAAAAACGTATCACTTATTTTATAAAGACGCTACCTCTCGCTCTGAATGCGGCCGCAAACAAGTACACCTCTTTTTAATCGACGTACAATCGCATGGATATGGAGAATCAAGGTGCTTCACCAAAAATTTCTCAAAGGATGTTCCAGCTGTTTTTTGGATATGCAAAACGACAATGACATCATTTCCCTTCATGTCAAAGCTGAAGATATTCTTCGTTTTCTGATCGACTTTAATAACTTACCGATTTTGCGGATTCTCCACTATTTTTAAAAACGAGACCGGGCCAGACTTGATAGTAAAATTCTGCCCAACCCTAAGCGGCAAAAATCCATTTCTGGGCGCAATTCTAAATTTCCAATTATTTATGCAAGTTGTATTGACTAACCTGGCTGTAATCCTGTCGACACCGCCGCGCGGCTCCTTGCTGCCAGAATAAGCGATTAGAAAGTAAATAATGGGGAATACACATAGCGTAGAAATGGCGATTCTCCTGAGGCCCATCGGGAATGAATTCACATATTTTTCTGAAACTGGGGTGGTGGCTTGGTGATTAACATATGGCTGGCATAGCTAGGGGCGATAAAGCGAAGTGATTGGTGTGGGAAACACAGCTGTTGAGGGGTCTATTGAGGTACTACAAACTACGGATTGGGGGAGTCAGCCAAGAGATAAAGGGATTAGCTTCAAAATTGCTGAAAGTACTTCCGGAATATTATATTTTGAATGAATTGCAGAGTAGTAAAAGAATATTCGAATTTACGCAATAATAGTGATGAAAATAATATTTCAACGCTTTTGGCTGTAGCAGGCAAAGGTCGTTAACGACACTTTTTCAGCATCATTTTCAATTCCAAACCTTGCCACGAGAATGAACTAGGGGATTTGAGTCCAAGACACTTAAAAACCTTAATATTATGTAAAGCGAAGGTAATGGGCAATCTATTCTGATCAATTTATTGACCACGTTAATAATCGCCGCTCCCCCCAGGCCGGGCTTTAAAATGACTCTTTTCCTTTGATCTAATTTGACAATAAAATTTACGAATCTTCCGAAAGCCGCTTGATGCTACGAGAAAATCGCTTATCGAATAAAGCCGCCAAAAATCAAAAGGGGGTTGGCATAGATTTACAACCTAACCAGTTATAGACCCACAAGTACCCCAAGGGCCACTACCAACCCTGTGGAAAGACATAAAAATGGGCATAACCTCAGGCCAAGCCAGTAGGCCATTTATTTTGGGTGGGGGAAGAGAAGAGAAGCAGGGCCCGATGGGGGTTGTATGGGACCGCGCACAGCTGGCCCCGGTCAAATGATTGAAGGCAACGCAGGGGATGGGTGGGACCTGAGAAGAAGATGGCCCTAGGGCCAACCAGGGGGCCGTGGCTGAAGAAGAAGAAATCGGGGGCGGGGGAAACGGGCGACGACGACAGATGTCTGCTGACTGCTTTTAAGGGGTTGGGACACAGCTGGGATATGTCCATGGCCAGCGACTGCTTATGGACGGACCAATATGGTAATCGTTTCTGGGGAAATGGCATATGGGATTGAATGAATTCGGTGGAACGCTAAAAGGAAAGATAGAATTTTAAGGGAACGCGGAACATTTAAACAGATCCTGAGTACGAATTTATGCGTACTTACGGCACGTTCATTTAGCTGAATTTGTAACCGAAGGTATTGAGGGTTTTAGAAATTGATCAATGGACAAAATTCAATAATTTCCGATTTAATCATCAAATCTTACCCTTTGGACCCAAGTTTCTTTAGGTAAAAAAGCGAGGCCGACTTTGCCAAAATCAAATTAGCATAAATCGTCAGCAACGAGGGGGAATTTGGCGATTTGAAAATTCAGTGAAATTCGTTGTCGAAATCATATCCAAACTCCAATAATCCTTTATTACATCCTTTATTAGCACCCGTATCACTCTGGTATTATTACAACTACACAAAGCTACCCTTGATAATAGTAAAATGGCTGTTGAACCGCGGTATACACGAATTGCTGCTGCTGGGGCTGATAATATGCAGGCTGCTGGTACTGCTGCGGATAATAATATACGGGTTGTTGCTGTTGGTATGGTGGCGGATTGTAGCCGGGTTGTTGGCAGAGGTCCGGGGTACATGGGATGCTCTCGGATTCTGACCCTGGGCATAGGTTCACGCCGTAATAGCAAATTCTTCTAAAATTTTGCAATTAGGCGCATTTGGTTGCGTATATACCTTCTAAAACGCGCTCCAGATGTGCATGGATAGACGCATTGTGACCAATCCGTCCATTGGGACCACCCTCTAGCGTATTGAGCATTCGATGGAGGTGCTAGATTTGGGACTACGATCGAAATAATTTTTAGAATACCTTGTGCAATGACTCGAGGTACAACATTGAGTTGGTTTTGTATCTAAAATACAATAATATAGCAAGCATTCAAAAAAGAATCCCACCAAATCTCCTTGCACAAGATTACTCCTTGGCAGGAACCTCGAAAATGTGCCAATTTTGTTTTGAGGTTGGGCTCGTGATGGGACCCTCGAATTTACGATCGTGTTCTAAAAACAACCTTTTTAAAGCGAATTGTCCTTCGTACCTGATCCACACTTGCATCAACTTCTTCCGGTTTATAGCCAGTTTTCTCCAAAAAGGCTCTTTCCTGCTCGCCCAGTGGCTGACCCGGCAATTTTTCATAGCTCGATTCAGCTACATAGCGCTTTGTTTGTAGCAAATCTTTGTCGTTGCCATACTAAAAACAATCTTAGACATTGAAGATATTCAAAATTACCGCGATTCCTTTTGCCGGCTGGTTTTTAATTTGTGTGTTAGGAGGAAGAAGAGCTCTTGGAGCAGCTCCGGGAAGCCGTTCAGGTGCCGGCTGGACATTTTGCGTCAAGATCAGGCTCGGCGGGCTTTTTTGTAACTCTTGTCTGAGCGCGGCAGCTAAAAAGTAATGATATTATTCGAATCGGATTGATCCCTACACTTTCCGCAATAGAATGTGCAGCCGCGTCTTTCGGTTCTGGCACCAGGGCAATTGTTTTCTTCACAACATCTGGTTCTCAGCTGAAGTGAAGTTAGAACAAATAAAATAATCCAACAGACCTGTATGCCTCGTTGTCCACAAAGTATGCCATAACAAGCTGACCATTCATGCCATTCTGACCATCGATATGGAGGTACTATATTTAAAATACATTTTGAGAAGTTTTTTCTACTTGTAGTCCTTGTTATCGACGCCTTATCAACCCAACCAACATTGTACACTCCACGAGAATCGCGAATTGAGTTGCTTATCGGTGGTTTTGGCCGTAATGGACTATAAATGTTTGCCTAAGCCTGTCATATTCCTAAATATACCTAGGAGTCACATTAATTTGGTTATTATGCATCGGCATCACATTTGGCCGTGCAAGGTGCACATGCTCCTCATAACAATCCTGTACAGACCCCGCCACAACCATCCCACGGCATCGCAGCGGCTATAAATTAGTTTTGTTGACATTGTCTAGATCGGCGCATCGCTAATCCGCCGACCCGGGAACCAAATTTCCCGCAAAGGCAGCCCGGTGGCTAATGAAGGGGTGCAGATCAAGGGTACTTTAGGGCCCAATGTATATCGACAGGGAATGAAGGGCCAGATGGGAGGGGGATAATGAAAGAAAGACATCCCACCCGACACTGTCCTTTCACGCAGAAGTGGCCAGGGCCGCAAGGGGTTCCGTCGGGAAAGTTGCCAACCGTGCGGATTTGGTTGCTTTTGGTGAGGTGGCACCTGAAAAAGGAATTAGCATACTTGAAATTTCTCGGCTATAATACGTCTCGCAAAGGTAATATAACGCCAGACGTAAGGTACGATATAATACGATACTTGAAATATTGTATATATAATACCTTAAATAATTCTCTACCTACCATATCTTGCACATTGCTTGACCGTATTGCAATCCAACGCCAGATAATTGTGGATTCGGATTGCTCCGGTCTTCTTTCAAGCTTTTACACGCCCTCGATGCATATAGTGTTGTAGAAATCCCAACGCAAGCCTTAATCGAATATATAAATGCAAAATCAAAATATTCCTACCTTCTTCTGACAAACAATTCCCTTTACATCATCACCTCGACATTGATAACCGCCGTTATTTGGGCTAGGATTATTGCATGCCCTAATACTTCTTCGAATCGACAGTTGCCCATCAACCTCGCAAGCGCTAGATTTTTATCAAGCTTATTAACAGTATGGTATTTTATTTACCTGCATCCAGTAGCGCAATTTCTCTTCGGCTGATCATTCCACGGACTCCAAGAACCATGAGTTGGAGCGAAAAAGTGCCGATGCTCTTTGCATACACCGTTGATACACCACTAAGGGGAATGTTTAAATTTTATCATGTTTTCCTACCATCCCAGGTCCACAAAAAGTTCCTTCCAATGCAGGATGAGCTGTCCGCAGCACCCCTTCCCCATTCCCACACCAAACCATTTGGCAGATGTCCTAAGAATTCATAACGAAAGCGATATCTACGCTTACCTCCAAAATTTGTCCTTCTCTTAATTCGTGCTTCCAACATTTTCCATGGAATATTGAGCATTGCTCGTCGATTGTATATTTTTGTCCCGGGTAGTCACTAAATACAACTGAGTTGCAATTATTTTAAAACCTACTCATTGAAGAGGATGGATAGGGCCGATCGAGTTGTCCTAGAGCTATCGAGTAGACAGTTTGGCGGTCTCCCTCTGGTGCCAAGTTTCTACACAAAAAACCATGGAAATTTTATTTTTTTTTGCTTACCGAAATAAACATATTAAATTCACGATTAGAGCAACTACTCCAGTCCGTCTTCCCCGACCCTATCGACGGACTCATAATGCAGCACCTCATATCGCACTCGTTATCCCCATCGTGGTACATGCCAAGACTACAAAAAGTATTGCCAGATGTTGCCGACCAACCTGTGCCCCATTTCATGGGTAACCACAAACACCGAGCCAAAATCGAGACCTTCGTTGAGAGTACAGCTTCGGATACCGTTGCACATTCCTTTAACTGGAGCATATCCGGCTACCGTTCGCAAGCCGTCACGGTAAAGATCGTATCTAAAAATGGGGCTAAAAATTCGTCAATAAAGATTTACCCTGAAAATAATAGAGCATGATCCCAATGTCTTGGATCTCGATCATCAGGTGGATTTATCAAATTTTGATAAGCACAAAAACTATCCAAAAGCTTATCCACGTCCCCAACGCGATGAATTCGTTTCGATAGCATTGCCTGAAAAGCGCGCTACACCTCAATTTCCTTTATTTAGACGCACCGGCACAATTTTCATCAGCTCATATCGCACGACCTTAATATTGACCCGTGGCTGCAGAGAACGTTGCGAATATAGCACATCAATCTGCAATTTTAGTTTTTTTTGGGGCATCTGCAGCGACCAACGTTATTTACGGCCGCCATGATAAACCGGTGGATCTCGGCGTCGGCCCGGGTGCCATAGAGCTTCAGGAAATGTCTCCACAATGCGTCATCGGCGAAAACGGCAAGTTCTATCGTTAGTTCATCAAGTCTAAAGAATGGAAAGTTGAGGTTCCACCGTATGATATACCTTGAAACCGCTAATTTTGAGCTTTTCCCTCCAAATGCACAAGTGGAATTGGCATCATCGGGGTTAGGATCATCTTCCGGTTCGAAAAAATGACGGGTTTCGAGGTTTGGAACTAACTTACTAAAAGAACATTTGCTCTCGACATCAGCTAAAGATCGCTTGTGAATTACATGTTGATCACTATTTTTCAACACTGGATGCACCAAAAAATGTGAGCCATCAGCTAACGTGACAAGCCCCCTCTAAAAATTCATAAAATAACTTTTAGATATTTACAATTTGTTGACCGCACCCAACAAAAGCAACAGTAGTTCCATTTGAATTCGTGGAATGTCCACGATAAACACATCTCCTCTCAGGCCAACTCGAATTTTTGCTCGTTTTCTGATCTTCGTGAACAATCAATTCAAATTCTAAAATCTTTAAAAATTACGAAAATTAAAAATACCGTTAGATATCAGCTCGTTTCCAAATTCCTCGATAATGAATTGGTGAGGAAGATTATCGACATTCAAATTTAGAAATTCCTTCCCACCCACTCGGTAGCGTTTCGGTGAGTCGAGGGAATATTCGGGGACTAGGAAATAAAGCTCGAAGTGGCGTAATACCTGATCGTTTGCTTCTAGATCCAAATAAATGTACTAATTCTCGTTCGGTCAGGGTTTCGTGGATTGAGGAGGCCAATTCGAGAAGAGCCAGCAAGAAGATAGGGGCTAGCATAATGGCATTTTATCTGGAAATGGATAGCTGGCGTCGAGGTCGAGATGATAGTTGCAGAACAAGGGGGAAGCGGAAACGGGTTTGAGCTGGTTTGTAGGGGGAGGAGAGCCAAATAAAAAAGGCTATTTAGGTTGAAAACAATTCGGAAAAATATTAAAGACTTTGAACAACATTAAACGTAGAAGAAGAGTAACTTTACAAAATTAATCGGAAGTATTCTAAGCAATTTTCAAGTCCTCGTAGCATTCGAAGGACGTCCCTTTCATTTCCAAGTTTGAAAAAAGAAAATATGGTTCCTTAAACCAGCCGTGACAGGGTTTAGAGAGCATTTTCAAATACCTGATGACGATATGTACAGTCTTAAAACAAATCAATAAATATCCCTGCTGGCAACCACCACGACCGTCATCACTGATTTCCAGGAGCATCGTAAGCCCATTTCCCGGATGGGCGTGTGCTGGCTATTTTGAAAGGTGATGCTCCTCATGCCAACCGTCCACCTCCTCCTCTCCCCTCTACCATGGATCGGACTCCTTGCTGGGTGGAGGATCATGGGCAAGAATCTCCTGGCGCTTGTTTCATTTTTACCTCCGTTTTTTCAGGGGCATATAGGACGTCGAGTGGCGTAGATGCATCTGATATCCGAGTATACGCACGGAGATCGAACTAACATCGCCACTTCCGAAAACCGTTGAAAAACCGCAGCCCGTTGCCCGGCTAATGGTCTTTTTTTGGTCTCTGGCAGTCGAACAAGTTCCAACCGATCTAAAGATTTTAACGATTTATTGTCCATATTGTATTGCTATTCATGGTAGTTCCTGGCACCTATAATAAAAAAGTAAATATGTAATAGATTTATCGTTGCCTAAACAATGGCATAAGTGAAAAAGCAAAAAAGAATACAAGACCCGAAGCAGAACAAAGCAACATTAGTGACAGCTGATATTTTTGCAAATACTCTTTGTTTAGAACAATGAAGTTCGATCGCTAAAAAGCAAAGATTGGGTCCGTTTTGGGCTTTTTGGAGGGGTAGGGAGGTCATTTTGTGAAACTTCAGGAGATGCCTTCAAGCCATTTACCTAAATGTTGCTATAGGAGGTTGTTTTTGATAATACCTGGGCACATTTATCCAGATTTTCCAAGCTACCCCTTCGACTGCCCATCGGCGTTCCTTGTGCACTCTTTGCAAACAGTGCCGCTTTAGCCTCTTTCTCGACAATAAAGACGTTCTTCCTCGCTTCCAATTCTCCGATTCTAAAACGAATTTTAGGGCAAACTTTAGCTATATAACCTGTCGTAAATAATCCCATCAATTTGAAGAGTGTTCTTGAAATAATCTTGGGTTGACTTTTCGTTATTGTCGTCACCCCATACAAATTTGGTTAGATTGAATTTTACAGCCAGATCGAATGGCTTTCGGTCCTAAAAAATCCGATTTTTTTTGTTAATTTGGCTATATACCTTTAATAACTCCTCTGAATGGAAATTGAGTCCAAGTAATTTGGAGCTAGCAGCAAAATGGACAGCAAGGTTGCTGCAATCAGATCTAAAAAATATTGTTTAAAGTCATGAAAACAACAGCAAACCTCATATCCTCAAATGGAACGTATCGATCTGTGGCTCCAATTACGAGGAAGAGAACCGGATATTTATGTTGCTTCATGCTGATTCTAAACACACATTTATTATTAGAGCAATTTCTCCCTACTGTGTACACATATCCGGGTCGAACGAGCTAAAAACAATCCTCCTTTCCCCAGCATGTGCATAAATTTCGTCCAGAATTCGATCGATGAATAAATTCCGCTCAAAATAATTCGCACACTCGTGAAGACCATTCTAATTGAGGTAAGTGAATGCAAGCCATCATTGAATTACCTTTTGCAACATAGGGTATTTAATCTCCACATTAATACCCACATGCGGATCGACCCTTCGAAGAATCTCCGACAACAAAGGGAAAGGCTCGCTAAAAAATTCGATTGCCCTAAAAGTGCGAGCTTACTGGTCAATCTGATTTTCCTCTCCCTCGCGCGGAACAATGCGGAGTGATTCGGCTGGGGCTGAGATATGTGATGTGTGTTCCAAAGCTAAGAGCTTTAGTTGTCGATGTCGTAGATCCTTAAAAATAGCATAAAGTAAAAAAAAAATAAATTTTGACACCACCTTAATCCCTAATTCATGGTGGTTACACTCGTCTTCAAAGCTGGCTTCATCATTTTTACGCCTTGCTACTTCGACTAGGACGTGGAAATCGTGGTAGACGACTGGAAGGTGATCCTAGAATATATTTTTTGTAAAAATTATTAGAAATATTGTCACCTTTGTCAGCTGTACATCTAACTCGACAAAGTCGGCTCCTTTGCCCGCAGCAACATTTAAGGAATGAATCGTATTTTCACGCGCAGCCGCAAGCCTAAAAATGTACACTTCATTACCAATCTGATTTAATTTAATGTGGATAAAACGGTGATATTAGATATCTTTCTTATTTTTCGACAAATGGCACCCACTTTGTATAACTAACTCCCATTCCACGGTGCCCAACTTCCAACATGCTCCTCTTCTTCCAATGTCGACCATAGGTAATGTGCATCAAATCCCTGGCAATGGCGTCTCCTTTCCATGGTGATATTATCATGTAATCAACTAAATTTAATTTTATTAGCTTTAATAGCCATTCCCTACCATTAATTTGCCCCATTGGTTGTTGATGCCTGTTAATAATTGCATATTTCGCTTTTCCATAGGTATCGGATAAGCCAGCTGGGAGAGCCCAAGCAACTCCAACTCGAGATGTGCCCTTCTCTTCATAAAGTTCTATGCAAAACGCCTAAAACTCAATGATCTGTTGACATCTTTACAGTACCAATTGTTCCAAGGCAACAGTCCTCGTTCGGAACACAAGGTAATCGATATTATTTCGGAAAACGGATCCGTTTTGGTATTGGGCGCCGAAAACCGGGTCAGTACGCGTCAATACCTAAATGGGATGAGAATTACCGACAACAAGAATATCAGTTACAGATAGCTCCGTCTCAGAAAAGCTGGGGTACTGGGGGCGGGGCTGGGCTTCATGGGCTTCGTTTTCATCGATGGAGGTTCCCTGAAAAATGCTGGTCATGAGCGCTTTGCGACTAACAAATATCGATCACGACCACAACATTTTGCACCTAACAACACCCAGACCCACTCCAACGTATAGCGAATGCATACGCCAGATAAGCCCCTTTGAGGCGTATCGTGGTTCGTAAGATATCATCTAGAAAATTATACCTTTAGATTATCTTCAATTGTTTTTTTATTTTATTTTTTTTGGACTGACCTCTTCGAATCTGACATCAAAGGGCACCATCTTAACCCTATACGTCTTCTGCTGATCCTTCCCGGGGAAAATTTCCAGCGCATTGCCGTGGATCCTGACGTAAAAAGCTCGCTCGTCTTCGTGACAGAGCCATCCGTCCCCAACAGTTGTTCGACCGTCTAAAAATGCTCATTAGTTAACGTGGTATACTCTACCGTAAGATCCAAAGGTATCTTTGGTCTTTGCGATTCCCTGGAAAACGAGGGCTCGTCGGGGCCTCAGCTGTGATTCCCATTTGATGACAACATTTATCGGCTGGCTGCCTTCGCTTGCAGCATCCAGGCTGGCGCCTAATTTGTTTATAAACGTTCGTTAAATTAAAACGTACCTATGAAATAACGATATTCAATAGATTTATATTGATTTGAGATGTTGACCTTGACTTGCCAGGCCCTAAAAAATTGTGTTTCTGTATATATTTTTTAATTGACTCACCCATCAGTTGTTTTTTGAAGCTCTCGTGCTTTGTGCGGATTCCATGTTCCAAGTTCCGGAATCGACCCAACAACGTATAGTCGTTCCCATGATCGCACTTCTTGCGTAGATACCGTAGCATCAAATGAGGCTGACGATCCCGCCATCATCAGCTGGTCTTACAGCAGTTTCCGGGATTAGTTGACCGCCAATTTCAATTATCTGAAAAATGTTAAGTAGAAAGACTAACGATTATCACGACCGCCAGACAAAAGGAAAGCACTTTGACCGATATTACCAACCGCGCCATCTGTCAATTTTTCAAAAAAGCATTTCTCTCTCCACATTCCCTTCACACTTCTTATCATTCGCCCCCCATCGAGTAACGATGACTGACGATTTCTTGGCTCACGAACATGTCAAAAGTGTGCACATGCCGGATGCCCCATCGAATTGATCAGGAAATTACCCCCCAAAAAGCATGACCTTCAAACCAAATAGTCGCAAATGGGTGCCGGAATGGGTTACTTGGAGAGGAATCCCGTTCGGATTTCGTCTACGTGAAAAAAATGTGGTTCGGTGCAGGGATAAGGAGGCAAAAGGATGAAGTGTAGGATTACATTGGGCTCGAGCGGTCAAAGGGGAGGCTGAAGTTTGTGCAAAGGTTTGTGAAGGTAGGGGCTATCTATTTACAATCGGAAACGATTAATGCTATTCAAACAATTTGGAAACATCAAGGCAAAGGAATTTTTTGGTTGACAAAATGCGAAGAATTTTGCCTTGTAAATTGTAATATGTATAAGTATTTGAGATATACGGTATTTATTTACAATCGTAAACGACTAAGTGTAATCAAAAATTTTGCAAGCATTACTTTCAAAAAAATCGTGGATTTAGAAGATATAAAGAAATTTCCTTAAAAATTGTAATACAAAAATATGTAAAAAAGCCAGGGGTTTTTAAATAGGTGTTTAAATCTAACTCGTAAAGTCTTATTCTAAGCTTTTTAAAAAGTATACAACCACGTGGGTCCAGTGTACATTGATAGACAGGAACCCTAAACTCAAAGACAATCAGGTGGTCCCATGGCCACTTCACTCAATTTTCTGAGATAAGGCAACAAAGGAACGTACGCCCGACATAAAGTAAAACAAAGAACTGGGATCCCCGCGGGCTTTCACACAACTCCAAAACCAAAATGCAAATCACCCATGATCGAATGATAGTTTGGACGGGTTATAATGAGCGGGGCAGCCGGGCAAATAGGAGATTCAGGCTCGTGAAAGGCTAGAGAAATGCCTTGAGGGGTCGAGTGTCAGGTGTGCTGTTGGGGAGTGTGGGAACGAGATTGTGAATGAGGGGAATGAGACTTGTGCACCCAGACCCTCGGCGCACGTGACCTCAAAAATCTGGAAAAAGGAGTGGCCCTGTGGGTACCGACAATTTATCTGGGTGCACGCGTCAAAGCTATGACGTTTGTCAGTTGGGCGGGGACGAAAGTTACCCCTACTTACAGGCTAACGCATCGTATATAAAAATGGTTTTCGTCGTTTTTCGATTGGGCAATTATCTTGATTTGCATGCTACTTTTGCAGTTATTTTTCGGTCATGTTTCGATAGGATTTCGGTTACGTTTAAGGTATGCCAATTTTGCCATTCGGTGCGTAATGATGTGAATGGGGACGCAACATACCAGCGGATTTCTTCGATAAGCTATTTGCGATATTTAAATTTAAGTTTCTGTCAAAATATTTGCCATCCTTCATATCCAGGAGACAATTAGCATATGCCGGAAGTGAGGCTAGGGTATATAAAGGTTATTAAGCTTGAATAATATTAAGCAATAACTTTTATGTTTTCACCACCACCCCAGCTTTTGTTAAATAAGACTTTCGTTATCTAAATTTAGGTTACCCTCAAAATATTTGAAAGCCTTCATACGAAGCAATTAAAATATGCTGGAAGTGGGAGTTAGGTCATATCCGGTCAATATCAATAATCCCTTAAACAACCTTAAACGAGAAATCACAAGTTTTACAGATTACACAGATAGTGGATCTTAGTATAGTTTACAGATAGATTTATGAGTTTATAATGCATCTCCGACCTAGATGAAGTTCTTCACCCAACACATGGTCCGCATCGATAATAATGTTTTGGCCTAGACGAAAAGGAGGGGAGTATCCACACGACGACAACACATGGAGGGGATCTCCAATCCTTCCACCCGACCCAATATTTCTTGCCACCCCCTAACAAATGCTCTCCAAACAGTGGCAGCCCCCTAACGACGTGAATGACCGCCGACGGGTCAACAAAATGAAATGTACACTAAAAATGATGGCGGGTTTAGTTTGTTTGTAAATATAGCAGAAAGAATCATTTAAATTAATAAAGATGTTGTCAAACCAAGTATTGGACATAGTGAGAAAATGTCGATTATATAGAAACCAAAATCCTTGATAATTTCTGGGTCTGATTTAACATCATCACCATCAGAACAATGAACAAAGTGTACACAACCACGCGCAACTTTTCCCCCCAAAAATCCACACACCCTTGCAACCAACTAATTTGACCTTGCCATCCACGTGAGAGTGCCAAGACATAAATAGCAACCTCATTGCGAAATCTTTCACATATCAGCGTGCGCAAGACGACGAATTTTGGGAGGAACCACGTGAGAGTTTCGAATTCACGAGGTTTGCTGGTTGTGTGGGCCCCCGTCCGTCGATTCCCGGAGGACCTCAAGGCCCGCGCGGGGAAAGGGCCTTGGGGTCCCACAACAGAAGGGGGAAGAATTGGCTTTTCGTGGGCTAGACCCTCCTGGCATCCCAGACATAGCAGCGCTAACTCTATAGAAATGAGCATAAAGTCTGGAAATTTAGGGTTAGACAAAAAAATTCGTCGCATCTACCCTTAATTTATCTAATTGAAATGCGGAATATGACAAACCCGAAGCCGCAATTTTTTAGACAATTAATGCGTGATCCTCGGTTATCCGGCCAAAAATTCCGATAAAATAACAATTATCGATTATAACATTAAACTGGTGTCTATCAGATCTTCCGGATTTTGCATGTACACCATGCAATTTTAGTTCCCAAGATTTCCAGGCTCTATTAACTTTGAGAAATATAAAATCATTTATCATACATCCAGGGATAACGACGTCGGATATTATTAAGCAGATCACGGTTCAATCACATTCACGCAGAAACCCGTACGCAAATCACAAAGCCATTGGTTATATTAGATTCGGACCCAACAAAGCCCAATGACTCCAATATCGTACTCTCTCATGATTAGATTTTGCTAAATAAAACATGAAAATCCCAGTAAAACAGCCTAACACCAAACCATAATTGATTTCTAAGGAGAAATCAGAATACTGAGGCCCAGTTAGAAAAAACCTTTCAGGCTTTCACCACCAAAGTACGGGCCGGGAAGTCATAAATAACACGGTCGAATTGGAAAGCATGGGTGACCGTGGCCAACGGAAGAAACGCATTGACGATCATGTTCTTAAGGAAAGAACGGAGCAATGATCTAAATAAATACATTGAATTTTTCGTTTGATTTTACCGAGTAAATTTGACTTGTGGACGACCCTTTACGTCAACTAATTCGGGACTTCCCGGCACACCGACAGTCTGTTTTGCATCGATGACCTAAATTGAAAAATATGGAACGAAATGCAAAACTTACTTGTACACCAACTAAATATTTCCCAGGCGTCTGCCCCTTCCCGATCCTTCCGCATCCATATGCGATAAATACGGCCTCCAATAGCGATATTAATAGCTTAGCGATAAACTCTGCTGGTAGTAATTCCTAAAAACATGGTGTTTTAAGAATCATGACAGATTGTTCACCGGCGCTAGGGCATATAAATTAATTGGGTCTGGGTTTTCGTACAGCACTTCATACGCATCGAACGATCTAAGAAAATGTTGCAATCGTCGTTAATACGCTTACACAAGATCGAAGCTCAGAAGCACATAATGAATTAATAATTTGATAAACATGCAAAGCGCATAGTCGATCAGCTCTGCGACGATACGCCTAAAATCGTCTTGTGAATTGATTTCGGGATTTCACTTACGGAGCCATTCCGGGAATTCTGCAACGTCGGAACCTGCGGTTTTGCTGATTTGCATCGAATGCTTGGGCGAAGAATTGGTTTTGATGTGCAGCTCCATTTGGTTGTGTTCCATTAGCAAAGTGTTGAGCCGGACGGGGTTGAAATGCTGTGAAGCCGTTTGGTAGGTTTGGTGGGACACCATTGGCCGACGGTGTGTTACCAAAGACTTGCTGAAAGTATATTATATGTTAATTTTTAAAAATTTAGCATTAGACCCTGGGGCATCTATTTCTATAAATTTTTACCTGATACGCCGAGTTTTGTGCGTTTAGCCAGGCTTCTCGATGAAAGTCGTACCACCTATTCGTCACTGCCATCCATTTTCTGAGATGTTCAGCCCATTCGCCTGTAGTCTCATAGCAGACCGGGCCAAGCATTTGTTCCTCGTTCCATGCTTGGAACTCATTCATCTGCCTGCAAGTTTGTTAACGTTAATGCGTCAGTGATTTAAAGGTAAGTACGCAAAACGTAAGTCAGGCATAAACCTCATAAAAATAACGTATTATATATCATTTTCCAAAGTTTAATAACGAGATTATAAAGTATAAAATTACGGAAAAATTGTCTTTTGTCTTCTCACTACTTTCACATCCTCAAAATCAATTTTCCAATATTCTTCCAAGAAAATCGTATTTATCCAATAGCTGTTGTCAACTATACGTTGGCATGGTATCACTAATTATGATACCCAACCCATATGGCCATGTTTATAGGGGACAACCGGCTTGTGTCCGTCTAGCCCCCTGCTCCCTGCCCATCCACCCGCTCTCTCACCCGCAGTGGTCCTGGGGCGACCAGCTGGCGCTATGCCAATCCAGAATCCCCCTGACCGCCATTTGAATCACCTTCATCTGCATATGATCGTGATGCTAATTTTTATCTATGACAGACCCAATTTTGGACACCTTGTTTTGTTCTTCTTGTATTGGCAAAGGAATGTGTCGGATTTTATTTTATTTAGCATTATGGGAGCCGTGCGAATCTATTTCGAAGTGTAACGAATGATCTGGATACTTGAATCTATTTACTTGTTTATTATATGTGATCTAAACGGCGATAGTTCTCAAAAATTCAGGGATGCTTTCCAAGCTATACTTTAATACTAATTTAACATAGCCTCTGTTAAGCTGACTAGTTCTCAAGGTAAAAAAGCTGGCTTGTAATACGTCATTCTAATCTTTATGATAAGGATTAACGGGTATTGATCCATTTTCGCGGGCAGCCGCTTTGACAATAGTGTGCGAACCGCACCGGTTGCTGATTCGATAGACATCTGTATACAGCAGATATTCCCCTGTCCGTTCAAGATGTAGTTCATCCCAATTATCATTGATTTTTTTTATTAGATCATAATTTTTCTTTTAATTCAAGTCCTTTTCATGCACGTCGATTATTTTTCCAGGGAAATGGATTCCGGGGTTGCCGACCAGGCTCCTGAGACATCTGTGAAGCAAGAACCCGGGGATAATGAAGCCGAGCAAAAACCGGAGGTATGTATGATCCTGGATATTAAATACTAAATCATCGATTCTATAAATATTTCTTTTAAAGGTAGTACCGGCTACCGTAAAGGATGAACATGTCTCTGATGAAGAAGAAGACCCGTTAGAGAGTGCTGAAACTGATACCAAAGAGGCAAGTCATCAATAGAACAACAAATAATAGCGTGGGTTTTAGGCAAGAATTCAACTGATCTCTGATCCGGCATTTGCTGAGGTGCAAAGCTTTTTCAATTCATTCGGAACTATGATGAATATGAAGCCTATGACTTTCGAAAAACTCGAGCAGAATTTCTTGTCAAATGAAGTCGATGGCTCGAGTAAGATTCATATAATTAATCTTAGCTGCTCCTTTTAGTTAATCACGATCTGATAGAGCTTCATTTATCGTTGATGCGTCGCGTTCGTTACACCGGAGTTCGAGCGGACAACTTTGAGAAATTCCTTTCTAAATTTTGCCAAAACATTGATTCTTTGGAATCGGAGCATTTGCAGCTAACACGGTGAGTAATCTGAATGGAAAATTACTTATAAAAATATTGCAGGTATGGATATGCTAATTTGTCCGTCTCCAGCCGCTTGGCGATTCTGGTTGCACTTTGCGTAGCTCAGTTTGAATACAACACAAAACTGCGTGAACTGGTAGGTTTTTAAAATAAAAAAAATCATTATGACGAAAAAATAAAATTGGCAAGAAACCTTTATAACAAAATTTCTTCAGATGACCACAACGTTCAAAGCGCACGATCTGCATCTAATTCCGCTGGGCATCGACAAAAATGGCCTGGCCTATCGATACCAACAAGACTCCAAATTAAATGGTAAGTTTCTCCTCCTGGAAATTAATCAAAAAAAAAATTAGTTCGCATCTACACCGAAGAGCTAGAAGATCGGAGTGGTATCACATGGTCACTGGTCGTTGAGTGGGTTCAAATCCAAAAACCAAATAATAATTTTCTTAGAACGCCTGAGCAGTTGGAAGAATTGACGGAAAGACTTAAAAATGAGGATCTCGGATATAAGAAGAAGGAAGTCGAAAAAGAAAAGAATAAGCTGAAGACCCATGATGATGCTGGGAATCTAATCGTTTGGCTGAAGAACAAAGGCACTTTTGTGGACCGATTCCTTGATGATCATGCTATCAAAGTCAGCCACAAATTTATTTTCAAATACATAATTTTTAGGCTAAAAAACAACTTCGGCAAACAGAGAAGGAGGATCGACGTCGCAAACGGGAGGGTGCCACCGAAAAGCCAAAATATGACGAGACAGAGGAGGAAGAAGAAGAAGAGGAACAGGAAGCACAGGAAGAGGAAAAGCCTGAGGTGATCAATTTTTACCAAAAAATTTTAAATGTTTTAGGAAGACACTGGGCTCCGACGTCGCCCCGTTAGAGCTGCTGCATTGAATACCATGAACCGGATGAGCAAAATTATCAAGCAACAGAAGCCAAAGACTGTGAAAGCTGAAAAGGCGCCAGAGCCAGAGGTATTGTATTTACAATTGGCTATTAAAATGCTTCTAGGAAGAGGAGGACGAAGAAGAAGATGAAGAACCGGAAGGTTCAGATGAAGATGACGAATTCAAAGTCAGCACGAAGGGAAAGGGCACCGGCATCAAGAGGAAGCGTAAACCGAAACCGGATGCGGCTTCCGACGTAAGACAGAGAATTTAAATTTTTATCATCTATTTATAGTCTGAAAGCGATGAAGAGGAAGAGGTTGTCAAGGAGCGGAAAGTCGCCACGCAAGATTCTAATTGCAAGAAATGTGTGAAAAGTGATCGTTGGGAAGTGGTAAGTGCGCGCTTCAACTCCAGACACGATTTTTAGCTACTTCTCTGTGATAATTGTGATGACGCTTGGCATACTGACTGTTTGAAGCCGCCTCTTTGGTAAGCATAAGGCTTTTTGGCGTAACAAAGCCTTATATTCAGGTACGTGCCGGATGGCGATTGGTTCTGCCCGAAATGTCTACATGGAATGCTGGTCGAACGACTCGAGCTAGTCAATGCAGAAAGGCAAAAGGCGCTCGCAGCCATGAAGCTTGACGCCAAGTATGTAAAATTTTTCGTAAATTTAGAGATTGTCTTTAAGAAAGCAAACCGAACAAGATCGCATGCGGCGTGAGATGGAATATATTGGTCTATCAGTCAACCTCCTACCGGTAAGAGCTGATTACCCGAAAACTGTTTCTATTGATCAGGTTGTAACGGCAAACAGTTCATCCGATGAAGACGTTGAAGAAAATCCGAATCTGCGCAAGAGCAAGAGACGTGCCATCAAGAAGATTTCAGCCCCACGGATTCGATCGAACTTCGATCGGGCTGTCCTGGCTACAATTCGTGAGGGGCGCACGAGAAGATCTGTTCCAGTACGATGCTAAGATCTTTTATTTTATTTTCTTTTAGAAAATCGACTACAGTTTCAAAGAGTATGAAAATATGATCAAGGAAGCGGTTGAAGTGGATAATATAGATAAAGACGAGGAAGGAGAGGCGGATCCATCAGGTACAATAAATTACGGAAACCAAATTGAGAAATTCAGATTCTCGACCTACTGGCGGACGTGGCGAGAAGGACATGAGCACGATAATGAAGGCTGAAGCGAAAGAAGAAGGAGAAGATGGAGAAGATAATGCCGAAGGCAGCAATGACGGAGAGCCCGAGAGCAGAGTTGGTCGACCAGCTGTATCGGCCAAACAAAAGAAGGGAAAGAAGAGGCTCAATGATTTGGACTCGGATCAAGAAGCCAGTGAGGGTAGTGAATACCAAGAAAGCGAGTAAGACATTAAAATCCAGCTCTTAAAAACGGCTTAGGAACTCTGAGGTGGAGGAAAATGACTTGGCTTCTGGTTCCGATTATGTACCTTCGGATATGGAGGGCACAAGGAGACGTAGAAGTGCGAGGCAAAAGGCCAGAGGACCGACAAGGGTAGGTTAATAGATTACGGGTGTTAGTAAGACCTATGAATCACGATATAGAGCAATAAAATCCTAACCTTACAGAGTGATGAAGAGTTTGTCGTCAGTGAATCTGATGGAAGTGATCTCGGCTATCGTGGAAGACGCGAAAAGGAGAAAAAGAAACGTAGAAAGTAAGTGGCCTAAAAATACCGGATATCGAAATTGCAGGCGTGGCAAAATCTACGATAGTCTTTCGGAAGAACAAGAAGATAGCGAATGGTCAGATGACTCTACGAAGAAGAAGAAACAAAAGTTGGCCAAGAAGGGGAAAGCGGATCGCTCCTCTCGTTCAAAGCGAGGAAGATATGACTCAGCTGAGGAGTCAGAAGAGGAAGAAGAGGAGGAGGAGCAATCAGAGAATAGCGAAGTTGAGCGAACGAAGACCGGAAGGTAGATTTTGTCCTGAGAAGAGTGTTAATGTTTTTTATAGGAAAATGCGCAAGGCAGCTGCTCAGGCCACTAAAAAGGCGAAGGTCATCGAAGAAGAAGAGGACGAAGATGAGGAGCAAAATTCGGATGAGCCTGAAGAAGAAGCGCCAAAGAAAGCCGCAAAGGACCGCAAGAAAAAGACCCAATCTGACGACGAATTCACGCCAGAAGAGGAGGAAGAGGACGCTGATGAAGATGATGAGGAAGAAGATGAGGCGCAGGCTGATGAAGAAAAGGAGGACGATGGTAGCGAGGATAGGTAGATTATACTTAGATTATCATTCAAAGTGATTTAGCAATGAGCCGCCAGCGAAGAAACAGAAGCCTGAGACTTCGAAGCCCGTATCAGACAATCAGCGGAGAGCCCCACCTCCAAAAGCTGGGTTGAATAAGCCGACGGCTGTGGCTGCTAGGACCCTGGTGAAAGAGGTTTGTGCTGTTTTGCAATATTGAAAATTATTAAATACGTCCTATACGGTGCGAAACTATAACTGAAAAACATGCTTATTTAGGAACCTGAGGAGGACAAACAAGAGGAGGAACAGCCAAAAGAAAAAACCAAAGCCAAGCCTTCCCCGAGTAAGAAGACGCCGACGAAAGTGGTGAAAGAAGAGCCCGCGAAAACGCCGACTCCACCACCGGCTAAACCGGTAGAGACCAAACCAATCGTTGTGAAGACTGAAAAATCGGCAACACCTCCTAAGAGGTATGGTGACTTGAACCTGAACTCTAAGTTGCTAATTCTAATTCAGCGCAGCCCCACCATCAAAACCAGGTGCTCTGCCGCAGAACCCATACGGGCCACCCGGTGGGCATCACCCTTCAATGGCACCACCACCATATTACAGTAAGTATCCTACAGCAATACCGTAATATTATGGTAAAACGACAGTCCTTAATAAAAATCATTGCAGATGAACAGCGCCAGCCTTACCCGCCGCAAATGGGAATGTCAACGTATAGTCAGTACAGTGGTCCCCCTCCGCCTGGCTACTACCCACCGCCAGGCGGTCAATCACCCTACCTACCGTACGGTCCACCCTCTACTACCTATAGTGCCATGCCACAACAATCGTCGCCTTACGCGCCACAAGGACAACCTCCTCAAACATCTCCGCCCGTGCAAGCGATCAGGTATGTATCAGTTACGACCTCCCGCTAAAGCACGTTTTTAAACACTGGAATTCCCTCAGGAAATTTTTTATTTTGGCGAGCTTGAACCTACGACATAAAATTATACCGATTTGGTTTTGTCGTGGCATAATTAGCTACTGCTAAAGGTAAATTTAGTACCGCCCCACCAGCTACAGATGAAGCAAGTCTCGGAGGTGCTCTAGCAAGTGCGATGGGCAATGAATTCTAAAACTCCCGTCGAAAAATATGATCACAATTCCCTGTGCCTACATCTAATTTATATAATCCCCCATTTCCCTAGTGCTGGTGCCTCTAGAAAAGATATCATAGTTGTCCAGTTGCTTTGATACTCAAGGATTACCGGTCTCCTCACTTAATAGACTCACCAGTTTTCTTAACGATCTTAGTTAATGAATCGTATTTTCTTAATAATCCCCAAGCTTCTTTTCGATTTTATAAATCCCAGAAAAGTATTATTTTTTAAACCCCCGCCCACCTACGCTATATTTGCTTTAAAGTTGGTGCCTAATGTGCATTTTGTTGTGTGTATTTGCCAATATACAATGTGGGATAAACCTTTTTTGGTTACTAAGACGTTTATTACTACGCACTTGACCAACATGTACAGAAACGACTTGAGGAGTGCAGTATCTAATATCCGGGAGCGGTGCGGGGTGGGGGGCAGTGGTCGCAGCCTCCTCCGTTGCCCTCGGCTCCATCATCTCCGTTGGGTCCGGGCTGGCCATCAAGACCGCGCTGTCCGGGCTGTCCATCGTCTCCAGCGGGTCCTTGAGGTCCAGCGTTTCCGGGCTGGCCATCGTTTCCAGCGGGTCCGGCAGGTCCAGCGGGTCCAGCCTGTCCAGGGGCTCCGGGCTGTCCAGCGGGTCCAGGGAGGGTCTGAACCTGTCCAGGGGCTCCAGGCTGTCCAGCGTTTCCGGGCTGGCCGTCGTTTCCGGGGGGTCCAGGGGGTCCGGGAGGTCCAGCAGCTCCAGGCTGAGCGGGGCCACCGGGCTGTCCATCTTGTCCGGGGTTTCCGTTGGGTCCCTTGGGTCCGGGGTTTCCGGCGGGTCCAGCGGGGGCAGGGGGGCAGGTCTGGCAACCCTCATCGGCTCCAGAGGATGAGTCGAGCTCTCCGTCAGGTCCGGGCTGTCCATCGGCTCCAGGCTGTCCATCGTTTCCGTCGTTTCCGTCAGTTCCGGGGGGTCCAGCAGGGCCAGCCTCTCCAACTCCGCAAGAGCAGCACGAGCCACCCTCAGAGCCTCCGGAAGAGATAGCAGCATCAGTCGGGCCACCGTATCCGCCATCGCTGTAAGAAGCGGCTCCACGGGCAACGGCGCGGCGACGGAAGCTGCTGCGGCCTGAGCTGCGGTGGACGGCCTAGAATGGATTGTTGGTTGTGGGATTGGGATCTTTTGGCTCACCTCACGCTTCAGACGACCCTGGGCTCCGTGTCCAGCCTCGAATTTGGCATATTCGCCCCAGAGGCTGTCAGCACGGTGGACGCAGAAGTCAACATCGTCCTGGAGAGAGGACTGGACGTGCTGCATGTAGTTGTAAAGGGCCGGGATCACAATGATCGCCGTAAGGGTAGCGGCAGTGCTGGAATGGCAGCAGTAATAAAAGACATTCGCCCGGGGTCAAACCTCAAGGCAATGCCGAAAACGGCGAGCTTCCTGAAGCTCTCGGCCTCAGCATGGCTGGTCTTTTCGGTGGACATCTAAATGAGCACAAAGGTAAGACTCGAATTCGAGAATGGAGCTCCCACCTTAGCAGGCTGCTTGCTAGCTGGCTGGCTGCAGTCTGTCTACCAATGAGCCATGCTTCATTATATACCATCATCCCCTCGAGGCGTCAGGTCAAGTCCCGCCTTGGTCAAAAAAAATTCGCCCCGCCTTCCGGGGGAGATGGGGAGAGTAGACGGCTACGCAGTTTTCATTGTTACGGCGGTGGCCCAAGGTCGCCGTACACATGTTTTTCGACAAATTAGCTCTTCAGCGCCTTCTCTCTTGTGGGTTGCCTGAGGCGCTATCTCAGATTCAAGTGTGATAGAGAGACAAAAAAGGAGTAGCAATTGCAAAGAGAGAAGAAGTTGAAGAGGGGGAGGGTTCGCTGTGGGGGTGACTACGGTTTACAGTTTCCTAGGAGATTTCCGTTTCTCTCGTTGGTGCTACAGTGCGGGGGTGGGTTAATGAAGAGAAGGGAAGGAGGAGGTCGAGAGAGAGAAAGAGAAAGAGGTTGGTGTGCCGTTTATTCTCGGGGGGCAGTGCTTCCGTCCCGCTGGGTTGAGGGTGAAACCATTTGAAAGAAATCGGAAAGAGGCTCGTAGTATTTGCAGCGGTTCAGCTATCAACTACGGCCTTGATAGCGCCTTGAGGGGGTTGATTAGAGGGGGAAACACTGTTGAGCTTTTTCCACTTCCTCTTCCCGAAAAACACAAGTGTAGGTTGAGGAGATTCTACTAGAAACAATGGACTTCGAAGGTTGCCCCCTCCTTTTGTCTTTTCAGTTGTTCACCATTTTCGAACTTGGGGGATTCCGATCGGCGGTAGGTGAAAGTTTTACTGTTGTATTTGGAGGTCCTTCCTGTGCATTGTGCTCCAATACACACCCCGTACCCTCCGAGATCTGAACTCGATACCCCCTTTTCTTCTCGAGTTGCCAGTCCCCTCATTAACGACCCTCTTAAACGCTCTCGCTTCTTCCCCAACGCATTTTCCGTTTAGAAGTTTATTCAAGTTAATTTTCACATACAGACAGCAAGGGCTGGAGATACCAAAAATCGGGGTGGGGTGGCTGAAATTAGCTGCGCTGCGGAGAGAGCCTGATGAGGAAGAATTTTTCGGGGGGGGAGAAGCGGAAAGATGGTAATTTGTCAAGGACAACTTACTGAAAAACGCCCTTTCTTTCCACTTTCGTGAGGGGGGGTGGAGAAATTAGACAATAGTCTGTGTGTCACAACGCTCGACCTGATACAATACAAAAAACGGAAGATGAGCTGGGCCGATAACTATTGCTATCCAATGAGAGCTAGGGATATTCTGGTGTGTTCAGGGGATTCCGGGAATTACGGGCTATATAGATTGGTATTTCTTTATCACAAGCGATCACAAATATAGCCAGACAACGTCGAAGAAATTATAACTCTTTGCTTTGTGGTTGCAGGGATATATATTTCAAATTGTAAGTGAAAATGCGTCAATATAACTTCGGGAAATGGGGGGGAAGGGAAAAGCGGCAGTGGCGTGGTTTTTTTGGGAGCAATATTAAATGGAATGACCAAAAAAGTTGTAAGGAGCTGATGATGAGGGGAATTGTTTAAGAGGGAGGGTATTTGACCTGGATAGACGGGAAAATGAGATGTATAGTGGATTTATAGTAGCTGATAGGGGTATTAAGTTTCTTAGAGGGTTCGGTATGATGAGACCCAGACAACGGGATGGGATTCGCGGGCGATCAGCGCGTGGACACGGCCGAGGACTTCATCGAAGGTGTGGAATTGGCTGATGACGTCTGGAAAAAGTATGTTAATTTTGAAAATTTGAGTGGTTTCTGCTAAAAACAATTAACAAGATGTAATATATTCACGGCGTTGAATTTAAAACTTACGATTGAATAAATCGCCATAAGAAGCCTCAATGCGCTGGCAACGCTGGTACTGCATCTGCGCTTCTTCGTGGCTGACGTCGTCACATTCCAGGATCTAAGAATTTGCGTAAAATCAGCATTATCTCAATCCCTTATTAAATATTTATATATTCATATTTTCATATTTATATTTATTTTCAAATTTATTTTAAAGAACCTACCTGGCTTGGGCTGTCCGGCTTGATGAAGATCGAAATTGGCTGGATATTTGCCACATTCCGCAAGCGCCTGATCGCATTTCCGGAGACGTCCAAGATACAGTGGCGACCCTAAAAAGAAATTATTTTAAACTACGACATGATACTTACGCTCTTGGCTACTTCACGCACAGATTGGATGGAAGTGCCGTAGAGGTTTTCCTGGAACTGCCCAGCTTCGATGAACAGATTGTTCTTGACATCCTCGTCCATCTGATGTTTTGAGACGAAATGATAGTCACGTCCGTTCTGCTCATCGGCACGAGGTGGTCGAGAAGTGTCTAGAAACACGATTTTTTTGTAAAAATAGTCTGGAACTTACGCGGTACGCAACTTCCGAATCGATCCGGGAATCGCTTGACAAGTTCATCGTTGATGCGGTCTTTCAACGCTCCCAGAATAATAACAGGCCGGACGTAGTTCACTAAAGCTCATGCTTCATTAACGCACTGCTTGTTTCAACTTACGCTGTTGTTGCTCCACGACCTGGTAGGACAGAATTGGCTCTTCACCGGAACCCACTAAAAATCAATTGGAATTTGCATATAAATCAAACGTTCACATAGTTATAAAACACTGTAAGTCCTTTACACTTTCTTTTGCACGCCAAACGGACATATGGACGCTTTTGAATAGTTCATACTCCAGGATTAGGTATACAAATATGGATATTTGCCGACAACAACTCACTAAAATCTGTATCGCTAGTACAGGTGGAATAATTTGTCTGGGATGTATAGCGGGCTCCTTGAAAAGCGGCGGGTAAATGCTTTGAAGGAAAAGGAACGTACTTTCTTGGTTGGCGAGCTCGTCGAGTCGGTCTGTGCTCTTGAAGAAGGGGAATTTGCGGGAGAATGAAAGTTGGGATTTGGAGCCACGACGTCCTTCGAGGCCACCCCGACCAAGGGATTGTGAGCCCTAAAGTAGGAAATTTCATTTGATGAAGAATTAACATACTTGGTTGAAGTTAACCTGCTTCCTGCGTGCTCGTTCTCGCTTCTCAACCCTTCTCTGGGATGGAATCACGCCTTCCGGTCCCTCATTTCCATTATCTTCCACCTTTCTCGCCGTCCACCAATCATCATCGGCGGTATTTGTTAGATGGAGAATGTCACCGTGCCGAAACGGCATCGAACGCGCCGGCTGGCCCCCTTCTCTGGCAGGATCATTGTCAAACAATGCCCTGACATAGGAGAGTTTAGCCGGCGCCCCAGCGTTTCCCTTCATCATGTCTTGACGGAGTTGTTCGATTTTTCGCTCGAAGTTATCGTATTCTAAAGAGGTAGATATGGCTCATGTGCAAAATAAGATCCCAGCCGAAGTATTTGTTTCAAAATTTAAACGTACCAATTGGTCTATAATGAAGGGTAAGCGTGATGGGATTCGAAGCATTCTTTAATGCTTCAGCCGCTTGTTGATGTGTAGCATTCTGAAGGCTAACGCCGTTGACAGCTAGCAGAACATCGCCCTTCTTGACGCTGCCCGAGAGGTCGGCGACGCCGCCCGGGAGGACGTAGCTGATGTAGATGGGTTCTCCATCCTCACCGCCAACGATGTTGAAGCCGAGGCCTTGGTTGCCCTTCATCAAGGGGACCGGCCTGGGGTAGCTGGGGATCGGCTCTTGAGCAACGACGCCTGAAAAGAAGAAAACGGTAAAAACTCAGACTGTATGATCCTGGAAAAGAAATAAAAATTAAAAAAAACACCGCATAAACTAAAAATAACCAAAAACACACCAGGTGAACGATGATAGCTCTCGTGCATCGAGGCCGGCTGCGAGTAGTTGAGCACCGATTGAGAACCGAACGACCGATTGTGTGGGTCAGTGATGTTAGGAACTGAGTTGGCTAAAGAAATAAAATAAAAATAAAATAGAAAGAGACAGTTCCACACTAGCCAAAGAAAAAAAACACGAACTTCGTGGGGGGTAGTTGATTTGTGGGTCCGCCAGATAGCCAGTTAATGCTGGGTGTGGGCTTTTCATGTAGAGGAGAGTCACCTGAATTGGTGTATGGCAAGGTGTGGTATAAAATACCTTGGTGCCGGTGTTCTTCAGCACGTTGACTGCGTATTCATGGGAGACGTTCTCCAATGGCGTTTCGTCGACAGCCATAATTTTGTCGCCAACGGCCAAGCGACCGTCGTGTTGCGCGGCGCCACCATCGATGATCTTGGTGACATAGATGCCGGGATCGCCCTGCACGTGTTCGTTGCCGACCCCTCCGGCGATGCTGAAGCCGAGGCCGCGCGCTCCCTAAATTAGTTTTAGTTTAAATTAGTTTAAAGGAGGTTTCAAGCTTGTATTTGAACATATGATCTAAAATTCCATTTGCAATTTGAAGAATTAAAACTAAATTTCCATATTCACCTTGTACAAGTCGATCTTATGTATTCCCGGGATACGCTCGAGGCGATCAATCTCCGCGGAAACCCGCGATACCGGGATCTGCGTGAATGAAGAATGAGCTGGTGGCGGCGGTGGTGGATACCCAGGGGCCAAGGACCTGAAACCGTTTGTATTGAAATCCGTAGCCTTCCCTACCCATTGATGTCCTGTGCCAAATGGGTCAGTGAAGCCGCACGTGAGCCTAGAGCACCATCGCGATCTTCACGACGGCGCTTGAGCGTGAGCTTGACGACGTTTCCGGCGTTCTTGAGCGCATTAACGGCAACTTCATGTGGCACGTTAACGCAGTCGATGTTGTTGACCTTGACGATGGCGTCCTTGCGCCTAAATTAGCATTATTAGGGATCGGTTAGAAAATGTGCTTACCTCATCCTGCCATCGGCAGCCGAAGCTCCCCCGGGAATAATATCGGTAACCAAAATGGCCGGATCGCCATCATCGGCTGGCTGGTCAAGTCCACCAGTGATCGAGAAACCAAGCCCGGTTCCGCCCTTCTCAAGAACGATGTCTTCGTACTCCCAGGCTCGACCCAGTTCGTCGTGGGCAATCGTCTTCTAAAAGGAAAAGTAAGTTGAAAAAAAGCTAGCACTGCTTACAGTAGTCGTCTGGGTGTAGCGCCCGGCTGGCCCGTCCATGGTGCGGGTGGTCGTTTCGGTCGTGTGCCAACCATCGTTCGTCTGGAAAGCTTTTATTAATGATTTTTCTAGAGTTTCTACCAAAGTTCTGGACTTTTCCTGGAGCGTGTATGATGAGTGGCTGGTGTGGCCATTGTTGTAGGGTGTCGTGCTCTGGTCCAAGAAGCTGAAGCCGCCACGGTCTTGGAACTGTAATTGGTACCGTAGAACAGGTTTCGTTAAAAATGAAATTAAATATACAAAATCGTAAACCTGTATGTACCGTTGTGAAGCCTAAAAATTAATCCTTTCTTTTCCCAGATGGTCAACCGCCGTATCTTCGAGATTATTGAGTGCCCCCATATTATTTTTGATGGATTCCCGGCCATCTGGCCCCTTCACAAAGCCCAATGAAAAACGACTTACCGCCGTTGTAACTGGGGCAGCGGCCGTGGGCACATATTGTTGAGTGCGACTCGATGGCAAAGGAGCATGGCGTTCCCACAGCTCGGCCAGACGAACGGCTTCGGCCACTTTTTGGGGGTGAGACTTCGTCTTGCTCAGCAATGTGCCTTCGTAAAAATCTTGCACATCTGAAAATGGATTGAATATACATTGCCGGCCCGGACCAGATCAATCAATAAAACAATTTTGCCAAAACTTACCAATTAGGGCATGGAAAAGTCCCTTCTTGAATGCATCGATAATTCTTTCGATCGGAAATCGAATATCATCTTCGCCTCGAGTCAGTCGAGAGTGGTATTCTTCGAGATGCTCGAGTGCTCGATGCGCCTCTAAAATAGTTTAGAGTTAATCGATTACTATAGGAAAAGTGGATATTTTGACACGCACCTTCAAATCGATTATGCAAGGATCTGAATAGATAGCAAAAATGTTGGTCATTTAGATGGTCATGGCAAAAGCCAGGATTCTCAGTTTGGGTCTGCTCGGATCGACTTTTATGGACTCTTCGTGGTCTTGGCGGGGGTATGGGTGTTGGTGGAGGACGAATTGAGGTTCCGGGTAACTCGGAACATTCCTCTACATACAAGGTCACTTCTCTTGGCTGTTCCTCAAAGGGCGGAAGGAATAAGGTCACCTCTCGCAACTTCTCCACAGGCTTCTCCTTCTTTGTTTCTTCAGTTTTCTTCTCTTTCCTTTGCACAAAGCCAGCGATTTGCTCGTTTTCGATGTACAATGTTTTATATGGGCTTGTCTCCTTCGTGTCGACACGGTAGCTGTGTTTTGGGCGATGCTTTCGTAAAAACCGGCCGAACCTTGAAGGGCCAATTGTTCCGCGAGAGCTAATGGTAGAATCATCGTACTGACTTGTCGATGGTTTGGTCGGACTTTCGCTCCTTCTTTTCTCGGTATATTCAGCCGGTAAGGGATATTTGGTATTATAAGCCATCATCTTGCCCGGACTCTCGCTGCGCGACTTTTTCAAGGTCTTGAAATGGCCGTCCATGGTACTTGGGGGTACTGGGTGTTTTTCGTCTTTCACCTGGGTGCGCGCGATAAAATGGTCCCCTTCGAATTCACAATAGCTCATCGATTATAGTAGCATGGTATGATGGGTGTGGGGTTGGTGAATATGCAGGAAAAGCTCGTCAAGAATAGATGACAAGTGAGGACGAGGTGGGGCAGAGTGCCCTCTCCCTTACACCGCGATCAAAAATGTGGTGTGGCGGCGGGGTGGGGCAGGCATGTGAAGCAGGAAAAGAGGTGTCGAACTGCTTGGAAGTGGCGTGAAAGGGTAGTAATAGGGAGGAATAAGGGGGTTAGGGCAATAAGTTGCTTAGAGGGACCCGGGGCGCTGGACGTATCTTAGGGCAACAGGTTTTTGTGTGGTGACGGTGATTGATCAAATGGACCGGGATTGAGGCTAATATCTCAATTGGTGGAACGGCCCGGGTTGGGAGGAGCTTAGCCACCAAAAAGATACGAGGTTGCTGGAAAGAGGAGGATGAGGAGGAGACACTTGGGAGAAGGAGAGGGAGAGGGCCCTCTCCTCTGATCAATCGCTACAAGACAACTGCCTCACTGGGACTGGGGCCCAGTCCCGTCTCAACCACCTTGGGGGCTTTTCCTTTTGCTTGAGCTCGCACGGCAGGGAATCAAGCAAGCACCCGTTGAGGGCCCGTTGGCCTTGCTCAGGATGTGGCCAAAAACATAAGAATTATTGCCCCAACCCCGGGGTTGGGTGGCGGAAGGTTTGGGCGTAAACTTTTGGACAAGGTTTTTTGTGTTGGGGGAGGTAAACATGATGTGAGAAAGTTATAAGAACTATCAGAAAAGTAAAAAACGTTTTTTATGTGCCTGACTATACTTTAATGCATGAAAAATAGATAAAGAAGTATTTGGAAAGTATATAGTGGTCCAGAAATTAAGTAAAAGTGGAGAGCTAAGAAAATTCATTAAAATGCAGGAAAATAAATTTGGCGAAAATCGCTAATTTCGGCTATTCATATCCTTGCATTAAAAAAGAATAAAACGAAAAAAGCCAAAAATTAATATTGACCCACCATTAGGACGCATTGGCATCTGAGCAAAGCTGGTCCAGTCGAGCCGTCGATCTAGGTCTGAATTTGATATTAAAGCGCAAGTTCATAAAAACTATAAGAATTAAACGGTATTAAACCGCTGAGGCATCATACATAACCATTTTCATGAATCTTTATGTAAAAAGACGACCAGAGATTGGGGGGAAACTGTTGACCACAACCAATACCAAGAAGGATAAGTGACGTCGCGAGATGAAATGAATGTGGGGTGAAGAGATGACACAACCAGAGCTCGAATATTTGGGATGACACGATTTGGAAGGATGGAAAGGCCCTTTTAATGAAAACACGTAGGGGAATAAATAAGTGAAAAATAAGTTAGAGACTAAAGTGAAGGTTTGAGGATGGATATGCAAATTAGCATCAGATATTAAGTTAGGAATAAAAAAAAACGATGTGAAACTCTTAGCGAGCATCAGGCTTTGAGATCCAAGCCGTTGGGTAGGATTCACGCTGGACATCGTAGAGGATTTGGTCAATGATTTGTTCATAGGTGTCAGCGTTGGAGATCACATCTGAAAATATATATTATAATTGTTTATTACGTTTTAAATTCGTTGATAGACAAGTGGCTTCTAACTAGGTACTTGATAAACTACTTACAAGTAAATTTCGTAGCAGCTTGTTGTTCAAGGCGAGGGATCCTAGCATACTGCTCAATGGCCTCTTCCTCATCCATATGCCCTTGATCCCATTCAAAAATTTGATGGTAACTGGACGGCTTCACGAAGATCGTAATCGGGTGTATATTGGCGATTCGCTGAAGACGATCAATGGCCCCGTGTGCCACGTCGAGTAAGCAATGGCGACCCTGGAATATTAATTTTAGACAGTTCCCAGTGTGCCACTTATAATTCCGCTATAAGCGCCTTACCTCACGAATAACATCTTGTACGGATTGGACGCTGGTACCGTAAAGATTGTCACGGTATGTGCCAGCCTCGATGAAACGGTTATTCCGAACGTCTTGTTCCATTTGGGCCTTGCTGGTGAAGTAGTAATCTTTGCCATTTTGTTCGCCCTCCATCATTGGGCGAGAGGTGTCTTAAAATTGATACTTAATCGGGGGTTATTTGTGACTTACGTGGCACGCAGCTGCTGAATCGATGTGGGTAGCGGGTGACGAGATCATCATTAATTTTCTGGCTCAATGCTCCAAGGATGATGACCGGCCGTGGGTAGGTAATGCTTTCCTTTTCGACAGTTTGATAAGTAGGGATAGGATCCTCGCTTGTAGCTGCTAAAATTAATATCATTTATGAATAAATCAGAAATCAATCCGTACCTTCTTGCTCGGCGAGCTCATGAATCTTATCTGTGCTCTTCACGAATGGGAATCGTCGTGAGAAGGAGAGTTGGGATTTGGAACCACGACGGCCATCAAGTCCGCGCTGGAAGGGCTGCTGGTTGAAGTTGACTGAACGCCTCCTGGTCCTCTCCCGCTTCTCAATACGGTGGGCCGATGGAATCACGCCTTCCGCACCTTCTTCGCCCTTTTCGTCCACCTAGACAAAGAAATACAATCGATCGAATTCTCTTACAAATCGTGCAGTCCACCAGTTATCGTCAGCTTTGTTGGTGATATGTAGGATGTCTCCGCACTTGAAGGACATGCACCGAGCTGGGGCTCCGACATCACGAGACGGGTCAAAATCGAACAGGGCCCTCATGTAACAGTCTTTGACCGTTAGCTCGCCTAACTTCTTTTCCAGGAAGGCGCATTCTATAAGATCAGAATTTTAGATGACAGGTAGCAAACTACCTTCGGGGCGGTGCTCCAAAGAGAGAACGATCGGGTTCTGTGCATTTCTGAGTACTTCCGCGGCTTCTTGATGAGTAGCGTTGATCAGGGACACTCCATTAACACCAAGGAGGAGATCACCCTGGAACGGTTTCTTAGATGATGACGTTGATACTACCTTGAAGACATTTCCGCTGGCTTCGGCCACACCTCCAGCATGTACGATGGAGATGTAAATGGGTTCTCCATTCTCGCCGCCGATGATGTTGAAGCCGAGGCCGTGCGAGCCACGAATGAGTGAAACTCGTCGTTGCTCGGCTGGTCCGTTTTTAGGTGGGGTAGAAATGGGGTTGTTGAGAGCAAGCTGCGATCCGAAGGCTAAAAATGGGGCTTAAGGGGTTTCGTGTGTGGGTGGCACCTCTAGGTGTGGGTTGTGGAGTTTGTGGTTTTCCAAGGAGGGCATCTGTCACTGCTGGAATTGGATTTGACGCTACCCAGAGAGCGACCTAAATAATTAAAATTCCAATAAATCAGAAACAAATAAACAAACCGTATTTCCAGTGCTTCGCAGCACGTCAAGCGCAAAATTGTGTGTGACATTATCCAGCGAAATATTATCCACCTGAAACAGGGAAAGCTATTGGAGCTGAATCCGAAGGCGGGTGCGATCTATTTGTTGTTGCCATGTGATACTAAGGCTTTCGTACCCGGAGGGCATTATTCTATGGCTCGACGACGGCGCTGGCGGCTTACGCTAACAAGGGATCGCATTTCCCCCACTAGGTACAGCCGCCGTCAAAAGCGCAAAGATACATAAGCCGCAAAAAGGCACTAACCGCTAGAATTTTGTCGCCGACTTTTAGGCGACCGTCACGGTCAGCACTACCGTCAGGGATGACCCGGGTCACAAAAATGCCGGCATCATTTGGGGCTTGTTCATTGCCGACACCACCAGAAATGCTGAAGCCGAGTCCGCCATTGTTCTGGAATATCGATAGTGAAGGGTTATGAATCAGGCATGTTTTGGGGAGGGGGTTTATGATTCACGTATGAAGGTGTGGACGAACCTTGTACAGCTCGATCTTGTTGCCGCCAAAATAGGGGCGGATGATTGGGGGTTCATTGTCGAAAGCAGATCGGATGTTGTAGCCTTGAGGAGGTGGTGGTGGGGGTGGTAGCGAAGGAGTTGAGGTTGAAGGGCTAAAAAGGGAAATATTGAGATTCTGAATTCGAAGCAACTGGACGGGATGTAAACGTTGCTCTTGGAAATCTTAAGTTCCGTACCCAAAATCCAAAACTCACTTGATCCTTCCAAAAGTGTCTCCACTGTTCAACTGGGATACCGAAACAGATCGAGTGCGCGCCTCCGGGAAGATTTCATCTCGTTCGGGGTGCCTCCGTTTCACAGTCTAAAAATGTCCACATTTTCAGGTCCACCCCCCAAACCCCAGCTTTGTACGATTTGGGCACCCTTCCAAGCCAAACCGCCCAAAATGTTTAGGGCGAATCGATAGACGAGCCCGAAACAGAGGATGAATCAGATGCGCGAACGGACCCTTCTGACTCACTCTTCATTTCTGCTGGCAACCAGGGCGGATACACCCCGCCGGCACGCGCCAAAACAAAATTGCAGATGACCAACCAATTTCACCAGATCCCCGGCGTTCATCAGCGCATTACGAGCGTCGATATGGCTGACTTGAGTACAGTCGATGTTGTTGACACGCAAGATGACGTCGTTTACCCTAAACAACTGCATATAGAGGTGCGGAAATGATATACCGAAGTCGTCCATCTTCGTAGGCAGCTCCTCCGCGGATGACATTCGTAACAAAAAGACATCCCTCGCCATCTCGCTGGTTGCCGTCGGCACCTCCAGCAAAAGAAAAGCCGAGTCCATGGCGGCTCTGGTCAAGCGTGATCTCATCGATTTCCCATGCGCGACCGCCGCCATCCACGATCACGTTTAGCTAAAACAAATTTTAGCGTATGGGGTTTCGGGACGTGGGATAATAAAAAAATGTGGTCTGAGCGGCTTGAGGTGGGCATTGGGGATGGAAATTCGAGAAGAGGTAATCTTCAAGAGTGCGGTGGTTGGTGGTCTTGGCTGATGCGGGGGTGGGGAAGAAAAACTGGCGTTGGGAAGATGTGATTTTTGGATCTTTCAAGTTTAATTTCGGAAGTGAAAAATTGATGCGTTCAGGGAAACTGAGGTAAAATCGGCCATAAATCACGGTATATAGCTTTAAAAATTACTACGGTATCTCTCCTAAAAGTGATCCTAAAGGAAGTGCTTAAAATGCAGATTTAAGCTTGAATTAGTCTTTTCGGTCATTATGAATATTTTTATATAATCTTAGGTGGAACAAATTGTTGATTTTTCCAATAACTGGAATACCGGTCAATCGAGGAATAAAAGCCCTGCTCTAAGGAACTGTGAAAAAATTAAACTAGGGGAAATACGGTATTTATCGAAAAATTAAGCGCAATATTTTTAAAAAGTTATTATGATCGTATAATTGGGAAATGAAGCCCTATAAAAACAATACCGGGTGGGCTACAATGCGAGCCTAGCCTCCGGTAGCACTGTGGAATGCATGATGGGGGTCCGGAGAGAGGATGGTTGTGGCTGCGGGGGCTCGCTCTAGGTGCTAATCACGCGGGGCATCTGCGCACACTCAAGCGCTCTCGTAAAGACGGCCCCGGCCCAGGAGGAGATCACCTTGAGATCCGCCTCCTCCTCGACGGCGACATTAATCGGACACCGACACCCGACACACTCACACTAGGCGGAGACCCTCCTCCTCCTTCGTGCACCTCGGCCTCCAAGAAGCCAATTGATGGCTTGCCCCCACAGGGAGCACCAGGGTGAAGGGGTCTCGTATACGGAACCACAATCTGTGGTTGAGGAATGCGAAAGGGGTGGGGGTTGTTGGAAAGTGGGAAGTGGTCAAAAACGGGGCAGGAATTTCGATTAACTCTTTAGGAGTTGGCTCATTGAAAATGGAAGAACAAAACGGTTAGGTCGGTTTTGTATTCCGCAAAATAAAGATTGGTGTGGAATTTATAGGAGCAGAGGACACGTTCCGGAAATGATATGGTCGCGAAAAAAATGATGAGAAAAAGTTAGGCCTACCATAAAAAGGGACTACTTTCCTATGCAAATGAAGTATTTATGGAACAAATTGGGTATGGTCGATTTCGAAGTCCATAATTTATTCAAAGGTGTTTTGAGGCCAAAAGCACGGTACTGTAAACCCAAGCAACGCTCGAGGCAGATTCGATGTATAAGCTTAAGCGAGTGTGAGCGATAGGAAATCAAAGCAAGGGATAAGCGAAATGTCAGCCCAAAACAAACCGTTTGCTTGACCCGTTGAACTGGGTTGACTTTGGGAAAGGTGCGCTGAAAGGAAGGGACTAACTATAGAGGGCCGAGAATTAGCCGCGGCTCAGGGCCACGGGCAGACAGCCAAATTTCGATAGCACCGGGCGGCAACCATAAAATGGTAACGACCGGGGATGGGATTCTATTATTCTCGGGACCGGGGAAGGAGTTTTGGGGAGCAGGAGATTTTGCAGGGCTGGGTGATGGATCGGATCAGGAAATTGTTAAAAAGGTAGTAGCGGAGATGTACTGGAACTGACAAAGTAATTGTCGAAAATTTGAGTAATACGCTTATTTGGATTACATCTATCAGATGTAAAATTATAGGGAGAAAAATTCAAGAACAAAAACTGCCTTAACAAAAATTTTAAAAAGCAAAACTTCGGTTTCAAAGGCGGATTCTGGAAATTTTGGATACACTTAACAAAATGTGGACTTTGAAAACATTCTCTCAAGGTGATGATCATTCAGCAGTTTTTGAACCATAGGAATTGTTGGGCTTTTAAGCTCTTCATCACTTCAAACACAGACTCGGCAAAAAGATGGATGAACCTATCAATCGAATAAACCAAAAAAATTCATTTCCTTCGAATATCAACGAAAGAGCGTCGACCCGGGGAAGTGGAGGAAGGCTAGGCCTGCAGGCGCTGTGGAAAGGGAGGAGGCATGCGAAGGCTTGTTGCAAATATTTGTTTGCATCAGCCCCTGGGCCACCCCACCACCCCTTCCCATCCTTCTTCCCGACGCGCTTCCTCCCCCACCCCCCAAAGACGAAGCCACCGCGCTCCGTGGGGAAAAAGCCGACCGTCTCAATCGATAGCCAGGTTGGGATGTTTGATGAAGAGCGGGACAAACCTCTTGTTGACTTGCTGCTGCTGTGTGGAGGCCAGAATCGTGGGATTTAGCTGGCGGCTCCGGGAACTGTAAATGTTTTTCCGTTAGGTGATGAGGGGGAGACGGGTATTACGGAGGAGCTGTGCGTCAAGGAGACGTTGTGTCTGGTGGGTGTTGGGGTTGTTGGTCGTTGGGATGGGAATGGTAGATGTTTTTCCCATTGGTTGACGATGTGCTTGACGCGGCTGATCTAAAATGAAAAGATTCATCTAGGTTTTTGGTCATTTAAGATACCTTTTCATAATGTGGGACATTATCACTGAGAAGTACTGACTCGTTGAGGTCGTGCACCTCTGAAAATGCTTGGTAATTTTTCGAAAATTCGACAGTTCGGCATCAACCCTTTTGTGTTTTTCGATTTTATGCCCATTTGATAAGCCGTTACACCCTCCAAATCTGCCACAAACCTTTCAAAGTAGTAATCAAGCACTTGCGAAACATATTCTGTATCTTCTCAATCGGCCGTTTCAACTCATCATCCATCGGTGACACCAACGTTGCATAAATCTCCTCCAATTGTTCCATAGCCCGTAGATGCGCATGGTCGCCCATGCTGCCACTTCTGAAAAATGACAATACTTTCGTGCTATCAATAAATTCCCCGAAAACAAGAATTAGTCACAATGCAAACAAGCACAGGGCATTGGTATGAATGTGAAGCCGGTGGGGGGAAAAGGCGCGGCCACCTTTTCCGGGCGCCGTTCCAGGAGAGCTGCTTTCCCCGATATCGTATAGAAACGGCTGGGAACTATTGCTTGAATACGGCAGGGAAGGAAAAAAGAGCAGAAGAAGAAGCATGTCGAATCGTAAAGTTGGCCCCCCTTGGGGGGAGAAGCGATTTACCAATGAGTTTTTGAAAGCGGAGGGGGAGGGCTAGTCGGCTGGTGGGAAGGAATTGATCGGGGGGTCTGATCCCCAATAGTAGTGCCGTATATAGAATTTTTTTGAGGGTCGAAAGCAGCAGATACAATGCGAGACCCCCCACAGACAGGTGCCGGCTCGCATACTGGGTGTTTAATCAACCGAAAGTATAGTTATTTTACGCTGTGTTGGGTCGGGGGAAATTGTTTCGTGGACAGTCCGGGAAATGGGGGAATCAGCTGACAGATCATACGTTTCGGTGATCGGGTCTGTATTAGGAATAAAAGAGTTTAAGTCGGGGACCGTGAGTTGACTCTGGCTCCAGGCCAACTTTTGGGGGATCGAGGCCGGTGCACCGGGCGTATTGTGTAAGGCTAACAAAAACAGGGAGTAATTTGTCGAGATGGGAGGAGGATGAAGTAAGAAAGCGACAGTTGCAAAGGGCACCTGTTTTAAGTTGGTGATAGGAATGTGGCGGAAAATTGGAGATTATAATGAGTTAATAAAATCAGGAGGTCAGGAAAATTTACGGAGATTCAGCGGCATGACATCGGTCAATAGGCGGTTATGATGACGGTAAGTGGTGCAGCCGCGTCAGAAATTAACTTACAACAAAATTTAGTAATTTTATGCATAATTAAAGAACATTAATAGGTACAGAAAGTTTCCGCAAGCTTAGTCATACGGAAAAGGTTTGAGCAGAAAACTGCCTGGCCATAAATATTTCAAAACTTCTAGAGATTCAGACGTCAATCAAACCATTCCCAAAGCAACGCAACACAGCCCAATAACGGCCCATGCGTAGTTGCAAGTATTCACCCTGCCACCCAAAATAATGGTCTTTTTTGCGTGAGGAGCAAGCAAGGGGGAAACGGCTGGGTATTCGTGAGAGAGAACAGGCGTTTTTTTGGGTGGGTCGAGAGCGGAAAACAGTGGCAGTGGTATTGGGGAGAAAAGAGTGGTAGTTGGGATGAGGGGAGTCTGAGAACACCCCGAGCCACAGGTCAGAGATAATGGCCGGATAAAATGATTGGGGAAAAGAGGAGCCGCCGACTGGCCACAGGGTAACTTAACATGGGGCCCTCGCCGTCCCGCAAAACATGCAAACAGAAAAAGTGGAGAAGCGGCGCTTTTGAGAGAATGGTCAGACGGTGGGCTTGCCGGTATGCACCTGGTCTGAGGCGCGGCGGCTATACACAAATAGCAGAGAAGCATCGTTTGTGGGGCTTAGGGAGCAAAAAGTGAAAAATGCAAAAAAATGTGCGAAAAACACTAGCAAGGTAAATTTAGAATAGTGTAATGAATGATCATGTGGAAATTTGAAATAAATCGATGCTAATAACAGCGAATCGAACGAACTGGAGAAACCAAATCACATCGACCGAAAATCACAAACATTTAGCCCAGGCTGACCGTCAGAGGCCGAGGGGAAGAATCAATTTGTTGCAACCGGTTCCATGTAGAATCCTTTTTGCGGCACACCGCTGGGGACGAGGAAAGGAGGAGGACTTGAGGGTCAGATCCCAAAAAAGCACCAAAGAAGGGAGGAGGAGCGCTTAGAGAGGCTAGTCATCGAGCGAAAATAGAAGTATTAAAGAAAGGAGAAATCGATAAACGAAAAGGTCGTCAAGTCAAGGTTAATAATAACATTTGTGCTAAGGGAACGAACGAGCCAGTGGTGAGCACCATCTGGAAGACATCACTTAACGGAACATACTACGGCCGGCACAAAAAACTTTGTAGTAACGGGTAAATCGACAAGGCGATTTATAACCCCCCCCCCCCAATGAATTCGAAAAATAGGAAATAGGTTATTGTTATGCTGCAGAATTGAAAATTCAAACGACGATATGACATTTTATAACATCAATGCTCCGTTAAAAATCCCCCCCAAATCTAAATCGAAATGTGTAAAGACGAAGGGCATAGGGGCACCCACAAAGAAAGAGGTCGTAAACGCCACAACGTGTTTCGTGGACAGCGGGGGCTGCGCGCGAAGCCCCTGCGGATTTTGTTGAGGCTAGGGGGTGAGAAGAAGTTGGCTGGGAAAGCTGCTAGAGGGGGGATGGTAGACCCTAGGGGCTGGATCGACAACTGGAGACTTTTGCGCGGTCAATTGAGCTGAAAGCCCCAAAAGAGAGGGGGATGGGGATGAGGGCTTATACAGGGACGAATTCATACGCAGGTGGGGGATTCTAAAGGGAATGGGAAGTTTTGGGGGGGGACAAAGGGGCAGGATGGGATGGGGGAGGTAGAGGTACTTGAAGATGCCTAGGAAAGCGTTCGTTCGGTGACAGTTTGTGATGGGTTTGGTTGGGATTGGTTTAAGGGATTGGCAAGGCATAGATTTGCCAAAAAGGAACGATCAGATCGCACTATAATCAAGAATTCCCAAACCCAACTAGCATAATCCGGACTTTGCCAAATTTGGCATCATTCGAATGTCGATCATTTTAAAAAAAAACATCATCAATGGTACAACATGAATTCGCGAGCTAGCTGGGACTTGGATTGGACTTATCGAACTAGTGATACGGAACTCAGGCCGATTGAATTCGGAACTTTTGTATTTAACAATCGATTTCACAAAATTCACACAAATACATGGTTAAAAATGAGTTAATGAGGCCAGAACAAGTTTCAAAATCCATGCGTCAAGTGCCAATACCCGCAATTTTGAATAGCATAGACAAGGCTGGTTGGGGGTGTACGGGCCGGAATTCGGTGTGACTCATGCCCCTGGAGGGGGTTGGGAAGGCCTTCTGTTTGCTCTCGAAGCATGCATGCGCCCGACTTTCCTTTTGAGACAAAGAAGAAGCGCCCACCCAACCGTCGAGGCTGGATGTTTTGGGTAGGGGATGGGAACGTTTCCGGAAAATTAGCATAAATTATGATCAAAGGAATATTGTCGAGTACTTATGGTAGAGCGGCAAGAGCTGCGAAAGTCTGTGACGAGGGTGAATACATGATTTGTAGTACTTCTATTATAACATCTAGCACAAAAAAAATTCAAAAACAGCATAAAATTACTACCACTTTTTACGTCCCAATCATAACTACTTCCCCTGCAAAACCCTCCACCCTCAACCCGCCCGAAATATTGATCAACAATGGCCGACTCGAAAACAAATATGGCCACCCCCCAGTAGGATCCACCTGATATCCCAACCTCTACGACAACCTTACTACTACTACTACCACACCCACTTCCCCCTCCTCCCTCCCAAATTGGTGCATCCGCCTAAGAATTCACGAAATTCTAGAAACACCCACCTATCAAATTTCAACCCCCCAGGAATTATTGATGCCGAAAAATGGGCTGGCGTAGTCAGTCATCAAGACGGAGAAGGCCGCACTAGGCACTTGGGGAAGATGAGCCGAAGGCAGGATGGCTTCGGCTTTGCCCCGAATGAATTGTTGACAGAACGAATCATCAGGCACGGGGCGACCGAAATGAGTCAGCCATCCCAAACCCGGGGTGTGCGGCCCCGAAAATAAGCCACGTAGGTAGTCGAGGGGTGGTGTGCGGTAAATTGGGATGTTTAAGCATGCATGGAATATCCTGAAAAAAAATGCAGGCATGAAATTTCTAAATGCTAATTTTTTGCAAAGCAATATGTCAATTATCGGGTCAGAGTAAGGTTCCTGATTAGCTAATGAATGACTAAATTGCATCATACTTTATTAGAAATCAATACTAAAATTTGGCATATCCGCCAAAATATTTTCAAAGCATTACCCTTTGTAATAGGAACCCAGCTCAAAGGGTCAGCCGGTCGCCCGTCACACCCCGACCCGAGCAACTGTTGGCACCAATTATTAGCATGGTGGTTCCGGGCAGCTGATAGGGATGAAGCGGCGCGTGCGAATAATTTATATAGAAGGCTGTAAAACGGAAATTGGGGATGGGGAAGCATTAGGAAAATTGAGCAAAAGATAACTGCCAAATTCCCGCGGGTAAAATCGGTGGCGACCTGGAGCTGGCAGAAAATAAGGGTTTTACAAAAAATCGTAGCACTTTGGATGTGTATGGGGGAGAGCTTGACAAACATGTAATCAATTAAAAAAATTCTATTCGCTTCATCCGGTATTATTTAGCCATATTACTATAAAACTAGCTTTTCCTTGTGCCACCGGATGCAGGCCCTCACGGCCACATCGTCATGTCAAAAATGGCCAGGCTAAGTATATATAAATATGTATAAATCATGCTGCCTTAAAAAATGGCCGGTTGCTGAGTTTCCACTGTAAAAAGAGGAAAGAAATTAGCATAATGCATTGGAACAAGTTGTAGCAATGATGCGCACCCAGCCACCCAGACCCAGACCAGTGATAATCTTCGGTCAGCATCTAGAGACGGTTGCTTGTACCCTCGCCGGTGGCTATGCGAGACTGTGCGTGTCGGTGAAGGAATAAGGTAAGGTTGGAGGCTGGGGGTGGCAGGTAGGGTAGGTAGACCCAGAGCCAAGGCCGCACACCCTCCACCCCAGCCCCCCTCCGAGGTCAACGCACATTGTTTGCGGTCTCTGGCCCAGCCCACAACACCACATCACCTGCAGGGGGGGCGAGGAAGAGGAAGGGACGGGTCCGAACGAACGATGGGACGGAGGGACCAATCGACCTCCACCAAACCCCTCTACCCCAACCACCAACCCCTCACCCCAACCCATACCCTCGAATTGTAATGATCGCCAGTTACGGCATAGCGTCTTCCACCAACCTGTCCAACCACCCTCAATCCACCGACAAACACCCGCCCTTTACCCTGTAACCCTTTCCCCCTCCATGAAAAGCAATCTACAGCGCAGATCTGTGGCTCCACGCCCGGGCCAAGGACGGCCTCGTCCTCCCCCAGGTGTATCGATCAATCGGTCAAGCGGAACCAGAAGATCGGAGATGCCGAGGGGGTTGGTGGGCCCATTTGAATTTGTGGTGACCGGTCACGGAAAGTGAGTGGATATGCGAAAGTTTTGGGAGGTCTGGGAAAGAAGGAGGGCTGGTGGCAGGAAATAGAGGGGGAAATCCAAATAACAATGTTGAAAAAATGAAGCAGATCAAAAAGTGATTGCGTGAGGTAGGGCATGGAATTTGATGAGAAAATAGTAGCAAGAAAGAACTGAAGGCACATTACGTTCGCGCGGCCCTGTGCAAAACTAAATATTTTTCACCTGCTACAACGTTGATCCCCCCATTTTCAATTATTTATGCGCGAAAGTAGCTGCCAAGAAGCGCTGACAACCATTAGCTGTCTTTCAATATCATAAAAATTAACATTACCGAAACACAAGATCAGACCCGATAATGCAGCTTATCAACCACGCCAGCCTAAGAGAGCGAGAAAAATTTGAAAATGGACCGTTTTCGGAGCAACAGGGCTTTCCGCCTGAGACGAGCCTTTGAGGAAAAGGGACACCGATAAGGCTCCACCCCTGGCCAGATAAGGGCCGCCGAGCACGCCTAGGTCTCCCCCACCACGACGGTCTCGGTCAACATCGCGCAACTCGCCAACAGTCGCGGGTTCTTTTGAATTTTTTAGGAGGAGCTCTTGGATTTTAATGCACTTTAAACTTAAAAAATAGATATTATGAAGGCATACACTAATGGAAATTACACAGAGAAAATAATTTTCAAGTTTTGCCAACCTCAAATCGATGGTGTGCCACGTCGTACAGCAGTTCGTTCACAGGTGGCCGGCGGCCCGGGGGCTCGCCACGGTTTCTCAACATTATTCACGTCCTCTTCGTATTCACAGCCACTTTTGGGGGGCGCCGCCCTGCGAGTGTGGCATACGACATGGCTAAAAGACTCAAGGTTTTCAGAGCTGCAAATATTAAAAAAAGAGACAAAAAAAGGTATGATAAAGAGGGAATAGTTTTTTCAACACAGTGAATTTTCGGTCTGATTCAATGGCCATCTCACCAAATTTCAACCTAGCAAAACGATTTGCTGTTACATTTACAGTTAGTTGAAATTCTACGAGACGAAACAAACAAAAATTGAACAGATGAAAATGCGGTGTAACGAAATTTGGCCTGAACAAATGGAAACTCGCCAAAACTTCTTTTGTCACTTTTTCGGCTGGTTAGATGATGTAAAGATTTAAATTAAGGATTTATAAGATGAAAATCCAAGCAGATAAAAATGGAACAAATGAAAATCCGGTGAAACGAACATGCGGTAAAACGATATCACCGATACCGTAGCATCCAAAAAAAAATCCTCATCCACCCAAGCCGAAATTGAACCCCACCATTACCAGTATTCAACTCAATTCACCCATGCCATAGACAATTCAGGTGAAAGGATGCGTGTATGATAATGGAGCGCATAATAGCCCCCGGATGGGTTGTGTTCGCCGGCATTGGCGGTCAGGTGCCGGGGCAAAGCGTCCCTAAATCTCTAATTATACGCGGCTCAGCGGTCGGCGAGGCTCAGCCCCACCGCGCGGGTCGCCAATGCAGCAATCCTAATATGCCATGTCTATCATGACCATATTTTTGGGGGCCGACGATATTTGTCGGGTGGGTGGATGGATGGGCGGATGTAATAACGAAGTAGCGAAAATGGAAATTGGTAGAAGAAGCTTATATTTTGCTGTATGGAAATCCAAAAAATTTGTGCTTTTTAAAACTAAAATCTTTCAATAGATATGAATCCGGGATAAATATTACATACATAGTCTTACAAGTTCTTGTTAAATTTGAACTACTTTTTACTTATTTTTAACTTATTTTTTATTTTTGTGGGGAATAAAGGTTAATAAACGTTAAACCAAAAACATTCCTGATAAATGCAAAATTTAATTGATAATGAGCCCTAATTTGCATCAGATCCGCTGGATCCATGTTAAGGCTAACGACCCCTAGCGCCGAAGAGGGCTAAAGATTGCCATGGTGACCAAAGCTTCCAGGAAGGGTCACGGCTACCCAAAAGCACTGCAGCGATGCCTTGTTTGCTTTTCAATTGTGAGGATGGGACATGCGCCGGTGCATGAGGCTCCGATCTGATCGGTAAACAGTTCGGTGCTCCGAACTATCAGACGACGGAGACGCATCGCGGCGTCGAGAGGATCGTCCTGGAAGGCGGGGTTTCCAATAGTCGGGAAATAAAAGAAGCATTTAGGTCCTTTTTTGGCTTTAACGCATTGTTGAATTAAAACCTCGACACTGATGTGTTAAAAAGCCTTCCATGCCAATTTTTATCTGAAAAATCATCATCTAACCTTTCCTATCCTCCTTTTCCTCACAAGACATCAGCCCTGCCATTTTTGGAAAATAGCCAAACACCTTCACTGTCACGCTCATAACAACCAAACCCCTCCTCTTTTCTCTCAACTTTTTACCCATAACTACCTAGCATAATCTTGATAATCTTTTCCCAACTAAGAGTGCGAACTCGCGGAAAGCGAGAATGCGCCTGAGCGAACCACTTTTTGCCTCACCTACTTCGCGCGATCGGCTTTGTCCGCTCGTTCCACACCAAGGCCGTTCATATAAGTAAGGCGGAGGAGTCAATTCGAGCAAAACACTGCGAACTCGTCGCCAAAATGAGTTGGGGCAGGGTGGCCGCCGTGGCTTCGATTGGACTATCGTCTTTCTCGATTGCTATTCTCCTATTCACGCTACCGAATCTTTACATGAAGATCTCGAATATTCAATTTAGCGTTGAGGAGGAGATGAACAGCTTCAAGTCGGCTGAGCATGGCATTGGGTAATCTAAATTAGCTGTTTCGATTCATGAATTTATGTGCTTATCCTAGATGTTTTAGTGATTTGCGTTAGAACAACCCCGACGAACCCCACATTTTCAGATACCACTTCAAAAAGCTTAACCTCGGCTCCATATACCGCCAGAAACGTGCTGTGGCCGCGGCACCAACCTGCAACTGCCAAGCTCACAACTCATGCCCCGCCGGCCCCGCTGGACCTCCCGGTTACCCCGGTGAAGATGGACAAGCCGGTCAGCCCGGACCTCAGGGACTCCCTGGGCTTCCTGGAAACTACCATCCTGACATCCAAGTCGACATCCCCAACGATTGCCGCATTTGCCCCAGTGGACCCCATGGACCCCCTGGAGCTCCCGGCAAACTTGGCCGTCCTGGATTCCCCGGTGGAAATGGATTGCCCGGAGAGCCTGGACTTGATGGAGAGGATGGAAATCAAGGAGAACCAGGTCAGCCGGGAGTTCCAGGATCAGACGGACATCCCGGATCACCGGGAGAGCGTGGACGTGATGCTTCTGCCGGGGGGAAGGGAGCTCCAGGATTCCCGGGAGAGCGTGGTGAGAATGGAGCCCCTGGAGCTCCTGGCGAGGACGGGCCGGCTGGCCACGATGGAGCGCCTGGAGGACCTGGAGCTCCTGGACAGACTGGTGATGCTGGTTCTCCTGGTGAGCCTGGACCTCCCGGTGGTTCTGGGGGCCCTGGTGCACCTGGTGAGGACGGAGGCTACTGCCCTTGCCCGCGTCGCAGAAAGCTGTAGAGGCGAATTAAGGCTTAATAAATCGTTTTTTAAATTATATGACGTAACATAATAAATACAAGCTAAATACATGTTAATAGAAAGGGTTGCCATTGTCGAAAAAACACAGATCTTTTAGCAGATTCTTAGAGCCGTCTAGGTAAAATCGATGCATTGTTGATTCAAGATACTAACACCCCCATTTAACGTTCCACTCACACACCTCCACTCTCACAATCAGGAAGTTAAAATTATTTTCGGAAAAATCGAAATGTACAGCCAGGGGTCTGTGTGGCGGTGGAACGCTGCCCCAAACCGGTCCCCCTATCCATGGCCATTCTCCAGATCTCTCAGCCCCTATTATCTCAAACTCTTTTTGTCGCAACCTGCGACTCCAACCTCTTCCCCCGCCAGCATTTTTCTAGGCACCACAAATTTTTATTTGGGGCCGTTCCACCTGAATTTACCGTCTATAAAAGCACCTTCAAGGGGTCAGAAGACATCGGGCACTCAGCATCCAGTTATACCTTCCATCCATCTTTCCATCACCGCTTACTTTAGATCATTTCAGGATGCAGTCCGGGCACATCGCGGCTTATGCCGCCATCGGCATCTCCAGCTTCACGGTCTTCTTCTTGATCATGAGCGTGCCTCAGCTCATCTCGAAGATCAACAAGATCCACCTCGAAGTTGATGCCGCCGGAGATAGCTTCAAGGGACAGGAATACAAGATCGGGTGGGTACTTTAATACTGACTCCCATCAAAATTCAAAGACGGCTGCTAAATATTTGTTTCAGAGCCATCCAGAAGAAGCACTTCCCCGTCCAGATCGTCCGTGAGCGTCGTTACGTCGCTGCTGGCCAATGCCAATGCAACGAATTCAACAACTGCCCCGCTGGAGCTCCTGGCCAGCCCGGTCTTCCTGGCTCTGATGGTGAGCCCGGCTACGAAGGACGCCCCGGCGCCCCTGGCCGCCCCGGAAACTACCCCGACATCGACTACGACCACCAGGGACAGTGCCGCATCTGCCCCAGCGGACCTCAAGGACCCCCCGGATCTCAGGGACGTCCCGGAGGTGTTGGTGCCCCCGGTGGAGCTGGAGCTCCCGGAAACGCTGGAGAGATGGGATCCGCTGGACCCGCTGGATTCCCTGGACAACCTGGAGGCCCTGGAGCCAACGGACAGCCTGGACGCCCTGGAGCTCGTGGAGAGAATGCCACTTCTGGAGGACGTGGAGCTCCCGGAAACAGCGGAGCCCCTGGAGCTGCTGGAAACCCCGGAGCCCCCGGAAACGATGGCGCCCCCGGACACGATGGTGCCCCTGGTGGACCTGGTGCTCCCGGAGGCCCTGGAGAGCGAGGAGCTGCTGGAGCCCCTGGATTCCCTGGTGGAGCTGGAACTCCTGGAGGCCCCGGAGTCGATGGAGGATACTGCCCCTGCCCCCGCAGGAAGATGCTGTAAGCGTGCATCCTTTTGGTCGAATAAACCTCATTCAAAAAGATGGCTTTATTCACACAAAATATACGGCAGATAAATACACATACCCGAATCACATTCATGTTTCTGGGGATTAGGTATCATGGGAAGTCTGGAGGACTGTGTTGAACTGTTCGATAAAATTGGCGCTCATGCCAATGCAGCGGACTTGGAAGGGGTTGGTGGCCGTTTTGGGTTTAGGTCTACAAGGCTTGTATTAAAATCGATATAATTCTTACCCATGAGCTCGACGAATACTCTCTATCCTTGAAAACTCATTTTCAATTTGATCCATTGATGTTCTTTGCGGACTGGCTTCATATAAAGGAAACACCTAATCAATTAAATGAGTTGAAAATCCAAAAGCATACCAATAAATTATTAGTTGAAGATTGTTGCTGCAGGCTTAACCTCAACTGTTCGTTACGCCAATTATTTTCCCCATTCTCCAGCCACTGTTCTTCAGCAGAGTGCCTAAACATATGTTCCGAACCCGTCACCATCAGATACCTATGATTAAAGCTACTCCTTGGCGTATTTGTATTCATCGTATTGGTCTCCGAATCCAAAACACTTGTACATGCCGGTGCCGTATGAATTACTGATGTCCGCACGATACCCTAAACGTCTTCAAGCATTTTTTTGAGACCTACAACATCTTTTCGTGCCCCTTTCCCATTAAGCCAGCTATTTTTTGAGCGCCTCCGTTCGAAAGGTCATAAGCCGAACATTCATTAACGAAAAGCCGTTTCGGAAAGTTTTTCTCCCGGGCCCCCCATTTTACCTCGCCCATTTCGCCCATTATATCGCGGAAATAGGACGTCTCCATGGAATATTGGATAGCCTAAAAACAGAATTCTGGAGAATAAAAGGTGCAAACACCTGGATAAGGAATGGGATTCCACGAATATTACGCATCAGGTCCTCGGTCACTTCGGGATCGATTTTTGCCTCGACACAGAATGTTTCCGGCTTGTGTTTTCGTTCCCAATAAAAATTATTGAAGAGGAACTAAAGTCGAATTTACATACACTTCGTTGATTCCCTACCCTCGGTTTGTATATCCAGCAGATTGTAAAGAAAATCATTCCCAATAGCCCCAAAACCGACAACGCGAGGGAAACAATTAAAAGATCCGATCTAAAGACGCCCAGGAACAATCCTAAAAACAATTTTACAATTTTTAGAGGATCGCAACTCGAACCTGTAAGGAAGATGAGCATATTGGCGACAGCAACAGCTTTCAATATCCATTGTATAACAAAAGTCTTCATCCTGGGACCACCACCTGGAATAGTCGAGCTCAAATCGGCATCTTCCATCCGCGACGAAAAATGACCCGAAGCGGCAGAGAAGCGTCAAGATCGGAAGAGAGAAAAGGGGAAGGAAATAGAGTATCCACCATCCCGTCCGCCATCCAGGGAGTGGCCGTGGGGACTAATTAGTTGAAGGCACGCTTCGCATAAGCCAAGATTTATTTATGAGCTTCGAACGGGGATTTGGCATGGTGGTGCACCAAGAAAATGCGGAGTGGACATTGAATTGGCGTGGGTGGTGGGTTTTTTGTGAGATTGAGGGTCGATACATGCTGGTATTAACCGCTATTCATAATTGCGGGTCCTTGGGCTCAGCCAGATCAATGTAAGAGAAATTTCTAGTTTGTGCTGGATGTTATGCAAAAAAAAACCCCAAAATAACTAGATCGATGTTTTTAATAAAAATTAGAGGGGTTTTTAAAAAACCCGATGATTCATCTTAAACTGCATAAATCCTATTAGCTGAGGAGTTAATAGTATTTTTATAACCCTTCGAATTTACTGAAATATTTTATGTTAATACATTTTGGAAATTGAAGTGAAGAATCAGGGACCAATTTCACTAGACCTGCAAAAATATTACCTTATTTTGTTTACCGTTGTGTTTTTTATTACCGAAAAAACCTATTAAATTTCACAATTCGAACTATTAATAAAACCCAAAAACTCGATCATCAAAAAGCAAACGACGATGAGAAACATCCTGCTGATCTTTCGCCTAATAAGCATCCTAGGAAAACATAATTTGAAACACAGCACCGCGTGCGGCTATTCATTTCCAGCACCAGAGCATCTGCAGGGGGCCCGGAGGCAGGAAAATTGCGACAGCCTTGAATGGCTATTTTCCCGGGACCAAGGAGGAGTCACAAAAAAAAGAGAGGAGTAAGTTCCGGGATATGACGATCACTGGTGGTTACCCCTAGTGGGTATGACTTAGTAAACAATACATGTAATCGACTGGTCTAACCTAATCACCAAAAAATCTAGATACTAAAAGTTGGCTTGAGAGCGGCAGGAGGGTCGTCGGTGTGGGGGTAAAAGCCGGGTAGTGAAGCCCATGGAGTGTGTTGAGGCTAAGTGAGGGGCAACGGTGTTGAAAATAGACGCTCATTAAAGGGGTGCTAGCAATTTGTGTGCGCCAGACGCGCCGCCACCGCCCAACACAGAATGGGACGGCAACATGAGATATCCGGTGAGGGCGGCCCGTGGGGGTCTTTTCGGCTTCTCGTATTCGGGGGTAGAGTAGAAGCAGATTGGAGGCGCAGTGTTGGACCACGCATCCGCAACACCGCATCTGAGGGCCACGAATTTTGATCCTATCCTGTCATGGGAGGTGTGGATGGGGGCATCGGCTAATTGGCCCTTTACTACCCGGGTGGGATGGCGGGTGGGCCTAGACGCCTTCGAGAAAATGGGCAAATCAAGATGTAAAAAGGGTTTTTTCAAATTTGGCCAGGGTGAGTGGGCATTTGATGTGTGGACGTTAGATTAGAGATCAAACAAAATGACGAAATTTCCGCCTTGTCTTAAAGTAAACCGTGTCAATTAGCATAAACTAGTTTAAGTTTAAAAATTAGCATAAATTGCTCTGCTCCTTTTGTTTAAGCCTAGCTACTTTTTCCATTTTTTTGCATAGCGTTGACTAATTATTTTCTAATTAGATATTAGGTCTATTCTATAAAGGCGTCCCCCCCTCAAGAATTTGAGACTGTTCGATTAGCGCTATAACATTTACAAGTCATTTTTACCTAATGCCAAGCTCTCGCAAAACCTGTCAAGGGCTGATCGGGCCAAAGCTACAGTAAAACAAAGGTCAGAATTCAAAAATTTAGTCCACCGAAATTTCTGAACCTTCATTTGGCGGCAGAAAAATTGCAACTTTTACGCAAAGTGGCCCTCTTCAGCTAGACGACGGGCAAACAATGGCCTAGGAGAGCAAAATTGGCCGTCTCAGCGTTGCAGGGTAAGCTGGTTGGGTAAGAGCAGGCCTAAAATTCGTTAGCAGCTATTTTCGTAGATGCCAGTGGGGATTCTAAGAAAATATTGGAGATAAATTGTTATGGCGCGGTTTAGTCAAACAAAATTAACAAAGCAGGAGAAAGGAAATGATTAAAATATTTAATCAGAGATCCGTGTGAATTACTAGATATTATCAAGTAGGGAAAATTTAGGAAAGAAAGAAAATAAACGCAGATTTACTTAGTAAAATTTAACAACGTTTCATTAGCTATCCTACCATATATATAAAAATATAGTGTTTGTGTGTGTGTGTGTGTGTGTGTGTGTGTGTGTGTGTGTGTGTGTGTGTGTGTGTGTGTGTGTGTGTGTGTGTGTGTGTGTGTGTGTGTGTGTGTGTGTGTGTGTGTGTGTGTGTGTGTGTGTGTGTGTGTGTGTGTGTGTGTGTGTGTGTGTGTGTGTGTGTGTGTGTGTGTGTGTGTGTGTGTGTGTGTGTGTGTGTGTGTGTGTGTGTGTGTGTGTGTGTGTGTGTGTGTGTGTGTGTGTGTGTGTGTGTGTGTGTGTGTGTGTGTGTGTGTGTGTGTGTGTGTGTGTGTGTGTGTGTGTGTGTGTGTGTGTGTGTGTGTGTGTGTGTGTGTGTGTGTGTGTGTGTGTGTGTGTGTGTGTGTGTGTGTGTGTGTGGTGTGTGTGTGTGTGTGTGTGTGTGTGTTGTTGTTTTTGTTTTTGTTTTTTTTGGTTTGTTGTGTGTGTGTGTGTGTGTGTGTGTGTGTGTTGTGTGTTGTGTTGTGTGTGTGTGTGTGTGTGTGTGTGTGTGTGTGTGTGTGTGTGTGTGTGTGTGTGTGTGTGTGTGTGTGTGTGTGTGTGTGTGTGTGTGTGTGTGTGTGTGTGTGTGTGTGTGTGTGTGTGTGTGTGTCTGTGTGACACTTTGCATGCAACTTCCGTCAGGGTGTCCGGAGGATAACTCGATAGGGAATGCATTTTATGGCATGTATTATACGTCAATAGGTGCGTAATAGCCTAGAGATGACTGCACGCCCATCAGATTTATCAAATTGCCTATTTTCGACATAAATTTAGGTTTTTGTTAAAAAATCGACGACCTTCTTTGTTAGGAAAAAATTAGCATGTGCCGGAAGTTCCGGTGGCCTATAATGGGGTAGAGAGAGCGATTTTCGTTTTTGTCACAGGAAGTCCAAGAATTATGCAAAGTCAGGTGGTATATCATGAGATCAGACAGGGCCAGGGTTGAAAAGTCGCGAAGCGGCTTTTCAACCCTGGTAGCTGGATTAGTTTAATACTAGGTCAGGAAATAAGAAATTCAATAAAATCTCGAAAAGGCCTAGTGGCCATGTAGTTGAGTTTTTTCCAAAGTGCTTCGTTTTACGTTATGTCGGACGGTGAGAGCGGATGTGGATGTGTATGGGTGTAAAATTAACAACGTTTCACTAGCTCTAGCTGGATTAGTTTAATACTGGGTCACTAAATCTGAAATTCGTTAAAATCTCGAAAAGCCCTTTCGAAAAATTTGCGAAAGTTGTCAAATAACTCGGAATTTTGGCGTGTTGTTGCCTAGTGGCCATGTAGCCGAGTTTTTTCCAAAGTGCTTCGTTTTAGGTTATGTCGGACGGTGAGAGCGGATGTGGATGTGTATGGGTGTTGTCGTGGCCACGCAATTAATGAAGGGGATCAATGTGGGTGGAAGGGAGGCATAGGCTTTTCTGGGTCCCTCGGAAATAACTGCTGCTCTGTCCTCAAGCTCCCCCAAAAACAAGAGCTGTCGACAGCGTGACACAGCGGCGTCTGGAAGGGTGGAGAGAGGTCATCAGGCGCCACCGCAGTCATTTGAAGGCGTTGCTAGGAACTGCTGAGACTTTTGAAATTTGGGGATATTCAAGGGCGAGCTTTAATTTTGCTGGTGAAGCTATTGGCATGTTTGGTATACAGTGAATTGCCTTCGCATTATCGGGGGGGGACCAACGTTTTCATTTGAATCTAATTTTTCTAATATTAAGGAAGGCACTGTTTCTAAATAATTTCCAGTTTCTACGAATCAAAATCTTGGAATTGTTTATTAATTAATGCAAAGACTTGAGTTTATGATCTTATACCTATCTTGGAAACAAAAGGAACAAAACTTCTAGATGCCCAAAAACATCCCGCCACATTTAGCATTGGCCGTCAAAGACTAGTGGTAGATCATGGCTTTTCGAGCCGCTATAACAAGACCTTGGGGAATTTCCGAGCGCCACATCATATCTTCGACGGCGATTATGAAAAAGCACTCGGCGCTCCAAATAGGTCTCCTTTCAGCGTTTTGGCTAGCGCGTCTATTCCGCCCAGTACATTATCGGAATTTCCGCGGTAATTTTCGAATTCCCACTACCCCCGTGATTACCCAGCAAACCCCCTATTTCGTCCTTTTCGCGGTACCCAAATCCTCCAATTTAATGAAATTCCAGGGTCCCAAATTATAGGCCAACATTGGACGACAAAAACAAGCTCAGAACAAAAGTTTGCTGAAGCTCAAAGGGGGGGGGAGAATTCTGCTTTTGGCAGCTGCTGAACATAACAAAGAGCAACGGCCAACATACTAAGGGAGTACCCTGGCCGGGGAGAGCAAAATAAGGCGCTAACTATTTATTGGGGATCTAAAGGGGAGGATGGATCTTAGGAGTGGGGTGGAATAATTTGTGATGTTTGGTTTGGAGAAAAAGGGGAGTTCCAGAAGATCAGATTTCAAGGCTCGGACTAGTCAAGTAGGACTATATGAATAATAAAGCTTGCTGGGAGTGTCGGCATTGAATAAAAGTTTTATGATAGTTTTTGTTAAAAAAATTCAGCTTCTAGGATCTCCTCTTCCGTCTGAAAGTTGTCGTCGCCAGCCGAGAAGGGCCCCCCAGCTCCAAAATTTGATTAGCCACGCAAAAATCGCGAGCTTCCATCAGTCACATATTCTCCTCCCGATCCCGCCCTAACCAGCCCGCGTGACAAAACCCATATAATCTTGTCGACCTCGCCCGTTATTTTTGTCCATCGTGATTTCCATTCAACATCTTGGATACAAATACTTTATTCAAACCAACGACAATGTAATAAATTACAGGATAAAAGTTTTTCAATTTTTGAGGCTTCTTCCACCTCCCTGATCTCAATGTCAAGGCGCAAAGAAAAAAAAACATATAAAACTTTATTGAGATCGCAGGTATGAGGAGGAGGAGGAGGTTGTGTTCTCAAACTTTGGCCTAATGGTCCTAGAAACAAGATCTTCAGAAAAGACATTTAGGACTAAGTTCAACAACACAGATGTGCGGTAAAAAGGCAATGTACCCGTAATGATCTGCTTTCACTTAGCTATCATATCTGAGTATTGGCATAAATATTGAAAAGAGAGGCAATTGGCGCATGGAAATGCTGAGGATGAGACGATGCAGGGTGCCTTAATAATTTAAAAACGTTGTAGCGAAATATGGAGCAAGAAGACCTAACTGAATTCCAGGTCACCCTGCAGAACAAGACACTTTGGATGCGTGATTAGACTGTACAATGAAACACAAAATCCGAATATTAGAAAAATTGGGGATCATTCTGGCTGGAAGTGAGAATCTTTGGCGGCACGTTTTGAGGCGTAAAAACACACAAAAAGAATTGGCAGTCGTTCAAATTGAGGTGCGAGTGTTGATAGGGGGTACGCAAAAAAATGAAAGAAAACGAGATGTTGGGTGAAAGAGGTATGGGCATTTTGCGTAGGCTATTAAAACTGGTAACAATGTTTCTAGATCTGCACATAGCGGACGTTTAGGCGACGAGGTTGAGACGTCTGGACTAAAATGGAAGGATTAGGACTTGACTCTTCAGATTAGTGACTTACGTTAGGAGTTAGCTGGAATTTGTCAAAGATCGCGATCAGTTCGTCGAAAGTGATTTGTTGTAGAACGTAGAAAGACTCGTCCTTGTGGAACTTCTTCCTAGAAAGACACAATTGAGCATGAAGGAGTTAGCTTACTTTCTCGCGCAATTAACGCAATAGTTGAAGTAGGCAGCATCGGATCGGTCGGTATTTTCTTGTTTGACGAAGAGAATGTTGAAGACCTCGACTTCACACAGAACGCAAGTCGGCTCCCGGCCCTTTGAGTCTGGCTGTCGCGGTTGGTATTTGATAACCTAGAAATCTTGCATAAGAACATAAAGAAAGTACTACCTTTCCACATGATTCCACATACTTCGCGATCATCTTGCAGTAAGCAAGGGATCGGATCAGCACACCTCGAATCACCGACCAAGCGGCTTGGTTTGTGAATTGGATATTTTTGGCGAGCTGCCAGCAGAGGAGTTGCATCGGCACCAACGAATTGTATTGCTAAAAGGACGCTAAGGAGTGGAAAATTCGGCTTACCGTTAGCTTATTCCATTCGTAGCTGACGAGGGAGACATCCAATTGGAAGGCCGTGAGAGGGCCGACGTTCCATGCTATGTTGTTGCACCATCCGGTTGCTTGTACCCAGTGGACACAGCCTGGAGCCACCCAGACCACGTCACCGGCTTTTTGCATGAACCTAAAAATGTTGGTATAAGTCTAAAAGCAATAACAAGGCCTATAGGTCCAGTCATTATTTAAATAAAACAATAAGCTTACCTATAGACCGGAATTCCAGCCTTCAGCAGCTCCTTCACATCCGGCCACCAGGAATCCCGCAAAAAGTCAATCTTCCTCTCATTGCACATCCGGTTGATCTCCGACCAATATTCGTACGGAACCGCGAACCATTCGCAATCTCCGGGCCCAATGTTCACATTCACAGATGCGAAACAGTTGTTCTCGACGTGAGCTGGTGTTCTTGCGCCGGGGACCTAGAAAATTCTTTTAGCTGACCACGAGTAGATATTTCTCACCTTCATGTACATTTGCACCGTGTTCATCCCCATGATCTCAAAGCCAAGATGGGAGAGCATATCCGATGCTCCGCCGGGCCGACAAAACGCCGGCAGCTTCTGCAGTTCCTTGATTTGCCTCGGGTACTTCTTCGGTTCGGAGAGGTCGATGTTGGTGCCGAACTTGATTTGCGGGTTTTGGCTCGCTTTCTTTCCGTTGTCCTGCTGTCCGTACTTCGCACCAGATTTTCGGAGCTTCTCTTCTTCTTCTAAATGTAATGTTCATTGAAACCAGTTGGTTTACTGACCTTTCAAGCAATGTTTGAAGGTTTGGGCTTGATATTGGGCATAGTCGATGACCTTCGAATTGCCAGGGGCCGAGTAGAATTCCCAGGTTGGCAGACCGGCTTGATTGACATTGCGATCACCATCCATGCGGTATTGGGTACGCACCTAAAGGTAGTGATTTTTGCATGTATGGCTTTTACTTACCTCAATCGTCTCTTCCGGGATCATTTCTGTCAACGTCTTTGTCGAGAACAGCGAAAGATCCATTCGTAGGACGGAAGTCAAGCCACGGACATTTGCTACACAGCACTTGGGCGCTTGCAGGTATTGTTGCAATGCTGTCAGTTGGGCTTCTGCTCGTGACTCGACGTTGATCAGGGGTGTATTCTGGTAGCCAAGTTCCGGTCTCTTGCTCAGCTAAAATCCAAATAGGAGTACTTCTAGATCTTTTTACCTTTTCCAATTTTTCAGGATCGACCTTGGGCGCCTTTGGGGGCTCCGGTGGTGGGACGTCTTCCTCAAAAATCGGTTCATATTGGTCCAGACAATCGATCCTTTTTGCCGCCTTGGTCAATACTTGTTCTGCCGTTACGTCGAGTCCGAGATTCAACTAAAAAAAATAATTCGATAAACGTTGTTGCAGCTTACCGGTGCGAGCAGGCTGAACTTGTGTGGCAATTTGTGAAGCTTAGGCTTTTTCGGAGGTTGATTCTCAGCGGCCTCCTCCTTTATTGCTTCAAGTTCCAGCTCTTCTTTCAGCTTTTTGTACGCAAGGTCACTGACGACATATTGCATCGCTAAAAATGGAAATTGACGACTATAATAAAGCTCCTTACCGGAACTCGCATCCGGCTTCAAAAGATCTGCCATTGACATTGGCGAGAGAGAATCTCGATCCGACGAGGGTTTTCTCATCTTCCCGAGTTTCTTTTGGATTGACTTGTGGCCAGCATCGAGGATTTTCTTGTTGGGCTCGAGGACACTGTAGACGGCTACTTGTTGCAAGTCCATTTCATCGTCTTCTTCCCCTTCTTCATCATCTTCCTCTTTGATATGCCGTTTCCGACATACGCCTAGTTCGGCCATTTTCCACAAAGGACTGCCTTCGCGATATCGGAACTGTTTGGCCTGGAAACAAAAACTTTAGCCTTAAAAATTCCATGTATCCCCGATGTATGAGGAATTGATAGAAAAAATTGACCTAATTTTGGAATGGAAAATGGGAAAGTATCTACAAAAAATTAAGATCGAGTGTGTCTTCAAAAGGATTATCCATTATTATTTTTCTTAAATCCCCTCGTTTCTTTGGGGGTTTTTTCATTTATCCGTCATTTTCGCACTTTTTCGGGGGGTGGGGTCAAGGGCACCTACCAAGTTTGCGTCGTTCTGTCTTGTGCGTAGTTCGCTTGGGATTGGCTGCTTATGGGCCTGATCCAAGGGAGGAAGCCTGAAATGAGAGATCGTTCGGGTATAGGACAATATAATCTGCAAAAATTTTACGCATTGCACCCGCATTGTGAAAATTGCAACAAAAAAAATTTCGACGGATTTGGCAAGGTCATTTCACTCAAAAAAACTCACTCAATAGCACCCGGGGTCTTGGGTTGTGTTGTCCGATTGGCTGACGGGGCGCCAGCGATGTTAATCTCGCTCTCGAGGATGGCTATGTGCTGTTTCAGCGGTGCCGGGCAGACTGGAAAAAAATTGGTAATTATTTTTACGGCAATTTGAGGCATAAACACTCGATTTCCAAGAGCACACCCGGCAGATTTACTTATTAAAATGTAACTGTGGAAGTAAAGCTAAGGGCAGTGCAGTGAGCGGTACGTAAATATGAAGGACACAACGGTGCCCGGGCTGGTCAACAACGGATGGGGGAGGAATGGAAGGGAACTGTGCGGGTCTCTGTGACGGGGCATAGAACAACAATGCCTATATGGCATCAAGCATGGGAATCCTATTTGAATGAACGCCCCGCGGCGAGCGCGTCCCTTTTTTGAGCTGTGCTGGGCACTGAGCATATGCTATAGGGGTATTGAGCCTAATTTGGCTGTTGGCCAAGGGATAAGTCTCCATGTGCTGTCAAAAGTGCAAAGCAAAATATCATCGATGGATGTTTACATGGTATGGGCATCAGAAAACCGTAATCTCTGGATTACAAGGAGTGAAGCCGGCCTTGGGGGAGTAAACAGAATTGGTTCTTCAGAAAATCCTTGAATATATTTTGCTGGTATCGAAATCTCAAGGGTCACTGGGAAGAACGTCCAGACAAAAACTATATCCATGACGGGCTTGCATGGTCCTTCAAGACGGAGATTTCGGGCTGGCTTAAAAAACGGCAACATACACGGAGATGTAATGCTCGTAAATCTAATGTCATGAAAACTACAATAAATGAACTCCAGGAAATCTCAAAAATCCGAATATTTTGTGGTAAGACTCACCTTCTATATCGAGGATCACCATCCTTCGCTAATGTATTTCTAGTTTGGTACGGTAATCTGCGGTGGACCAACCGGAGCGAGAGGAAATGGGAACAGGTCCCGGGCCCTACGGGTTTATGAGGGTTGGGCCCCGGTGGGCGGTGCCTGTGTGCCAGATCTCCAGCTACCAATTAGTCTGCCCTGATGTTGGGCCCACCACCTTCAGAAGCACTTTGATGGGGGAGCATACGTTCTATGCAGTGGTCAACGGGGGGATTAGTTAATCTCTTAGGCGGCAGCGCCCTGGATTTGAGCTCTCGCGGGTTCATGCTAGTCCGCCTAATTACCTTCGTGGCCAAACCACCGGTCAAAATGGTGAGAAAATATATAGTGGAAATGGGTTTGGTGTAAACAAAGAGTATAGTTCGGAATCTGGGCACTATTGAAACGCATGTATCAGAAAATTTCGGGATTAGAGAAGAAAAGTTATCTTATCGTCTGCGTCAATCCGCGTTGTGTTTTTACGAATTATGTGCAAAAAAAAAGAAATTTACGTAGAATTTGTTGGGGAACTAGCATCCAAAATATTTTACGTCGTATTTCTTTAATTCCTATTACGTATTTTCTTGCGCATTATCCCACATCATACATATCTATTTTTATACAAAAACTACATACTCCCGATTTTGTAATTAGAGGCCTCGGGGAATTCACACGGAACCCTGACGCATTAATGAATTTTAGCGCAAACCAACGGCTTAAATACCGAACTATTCAGAAAAACCCCATTGAACTTCCGCGCACCGGCCCACAAACTTTTTGCCCCCAATTTTCGCCCAATTATACCCGCATTGATAAGAACGCGCCTCACGCATTTCAACCCCGATTCGCCCACTCGCCCAGGCCACAAAACAACCCGCTTAGTTCATGACGCATTGCGGAAATTTACGCGCCATCCTGCCCCGAGCTAACACAATTTTTGTGCGAATTGTTCGTTGTTCGATCTCATTGGCACGAATCCCGAGAGAACCCCCCACCCGCACCCCCTCATTCATATCCGGTAATCCGGTTATTTTCCAAAAGCAATCAAGTGTGGGTGGTCAGCGCCCACCACCCCCACCACCTGCAATTATTTGTCGCGTAATGGGGGAGAAGCATCGAAAATTCATTGAAACGTAATTACCCGTGATTCGACAACACGGAAGAGCTCAAAGCACATTAATTTTTTGGAATTTTCGTTTCCACGCTTTGACCTATAATCCACTGCGGGGCATGATCGTCTTTGCGAAAGTCCAGACGGAAATCCGGGGGGTTACTCGGAAATGTGTCGACATCTAATCGACGGGGGATTGTTCGTGAATACAGGCAAAAAACGGTCACGCCGGAGGGCTTTTCGTAGAATGTTGGCGCGTTAATCTGGGGCTGGCCTTTTTAGGTATTCGATGTGGACGTCAAAAGGATGCGCTCGGCTTTTCGGATACAAATGGGCACAAATGGCAACTATGAACGCGTAGTAACATCATTTTTGGCAAGCTATTACGTTAGGGGTGTCGTATGAAAGAAGCCAAAGATGTAAGAGGCCGGGATTATGGTGCTCACGAAAAATAAGCGATGTTTTTGGGAAATTCTTCATTTAAAGGGGGTTGAGAGATTCTGATAAATAATAGCAAAAGCAAAGAGGGAGTTAGAGAGCTTGCTTGGATAGGTACGTGCAGCACCGGAAGGGGCGTGATCGTCAACAAATCCATTCTCAAATTAGGGTGGAAGATCAGGCTGCAAGGCTAATGGATGAGACTCTCCGGTAGCCACCGTCTAGAGCCACTTTTTCATGATAAAATGCTCGGGGTATCAATGAGCCGGCCGGGCGTGTCGAAGGTTCGTGAGCGAGAACCCACACACTGGCGACCGGCGAAAGATAATGAAGGTCGAGAGTCGAAGGGCGCGCACCCGGCAAAACAGAGCGCACATCCACGGGTGGGAGGAAAAAAATTTTGGAGGTGCCGGTCATTTAAGGTCTGGATTTTTGACCGAGAGACACATGGATGGGTGTGGAGAGGGGATGGGAGACCGGCTAAAGCAAAGGAGGAGCTATGGAGGGTGAAAGGGGGAAGTCTCGGCGGAAGACTGCCTCCACACACAGGCAAAGACCGATCTCGAAAGATCGATACCGGGGCGGCTTATTTATTTAGGTATGGTGGGGTGGGTGAGTCATCAGAAGAGGGGTCGTTGGTCTCGGCATGAGGTGGGGGGTTAGGTGGGGGTCACTTGATAAAGCGGGAGGCAGGGAAAGGTGGTTACATGAAAGGCTAAAAATGAGCACTGGTTTTACCAGAATAAGACAAAGAGACTATTTGCATCACGTTGGAGTTGTGGATATGCCAAGAAAGTAGGTAAACAAGAAGCAAAATTAGCTTCCTACCCCAAACATTTTTTACTGTTCAGAAGAGAGCGTAGATAGAAATGGTTTGGAATTAGGTTATAATCCCGAAGTTAACAGAATATATAATGTTTGGGAAAAATGCGTAAAATTTGCCAAAACCAACAGGCTAAAATACAGATGCGTGGGGCAATATTTAACCGGAAGCTAGTAGAAACCTGGGTGGAGACTAGGCTGCGGTCAGCGATTCGGGACCCGCCTGGCTGGACTGCCCACGCCCTGCCGACGAAAAGCAAATATAGTCACCCGCCTGCACCCAGCTACGCTCCCGAATTGAAATCAAAGCTCAAATGTTTTTATTCTATTTTGTTATTGCTAAATTTTACTGGCTACAAAGGATTTAACCCGCCATTACTTTAGGAAGTTGCAAAGTTGTAACCTTCAAAAAACCTTTTCTACATCCGGTGCACAAAAGTTCAAAATACCCTCCATGACGTACGACGAGTCACCAATTAAAAGGAACCAAAAAAATGAACGGCCAAAAGAACCATCTACTCCACGCACAAAGTGCATGTGCGCGTGTTCGCCACCTGCATCCCCTTTTTTCCCATGGAACAAAAACCCTAAACGATTCCCGGAACTCATCGCGACTAGACTGGAACCAATGTCTCTCCATTCGGGAGAGATCGCGCGTAATACGTCGTCATTTGTGACTTAACAAAATACCGGGGGCTTATCAGTGCTTGCCGCCGCATTTTTTCGCCGTCAAATAATTGGCCATCCATTTTGTTCCGGGGGAAGAAAAACGGCTGCGTTTCGGATCTGGGTGTTTTGGGGGGTAAATTATAGAGAAGCAGACGGGGATATGACAAAATGGGTAAGCCGCGGGGGGTTGAGATGAGCCAAGGTCAGCTTCGGTTGCTGAGCTATTTTATCGTTTTCGGATAGCGCTGAGTTATCGACACTATCGTAAAAAAACGTTTGTCAAGAAAGCATTCCAAAAATAGCAAATAGTGATTAGAACAAATAGTGAAAAGATTGCGGGGCAGAACGCAAAACTATTTTCTATGTTGTCATCTACTTCTAAGTCTCTAAACCTATCTGCGTGGGCAGGAGATTCTAGCTCATCATTAGCAAGAGCCTAGTCTGAGCAGGCAGACAGATAATTATAGAGCCTTGGGTGTTGTGCCAATTAGTCGAGGTTTCCGTTTGACGATTAGTCCCCACCTGGATTGTGCTTCAGCGCTTGTTTAAAACACTCCAAGGCGTCCGGAAATTGCTGTTCCTTCAAATAGAGTTGGCCGAGGTTCGTCCAGGCCGGGCTGTGCTCAGGGTTCAATTCGACAGCGCAGATGAACGCCTAAATGTACAATTTCTATAACGTGGAACTAGTAGGGGCGCGTAGCCGAAAAGCAAAATAAAATATATTCCGGACCGGTCGCTTGGCTGCGACGAGAATCCGCCCCGAAAAGACCGAAAGGGGGGTGCCTTTGAATTTGGCTGCTATAGAATGAAGAGGAGGCGGAATGGGAGAAAGCTAGCTTGCCGTATAGCAAACATTGTGGCAAGCAAAGAAGTTTGTGAAAAATGAATAAAAATGTGGGTTGAGGGTGGTCAAAATTCTATACGTCATATGGTAATCGCAGGGGATCGAAGTGTTTTCTTTCAGGAACGAATTGGAGAGAGTGCAGGAAATATCGTTTTGTAAGAAAACGTTTTAAATCCTATGAATTCATGGTTTTCAATGTTGTTTTTGATTGCTTACTTGCAAAGCATCCATAGGCTGGTTCTGATCCTGGTAAAGCAGCCCGATGGAGCACCAAGTATCGGCGTCTCCTTCGGATTTGTCGATGGCCTGGCGGTAGTGGAGGAACGCGTCGTGTGCCTATAGAAGTTACGCGCCTCAACTAATTATAAAATTACTTACCCGTCCTTTATTCTCGCCAAAACACCTCCCCAAGTAGTAGTAGGTTTTCCCGTGATTTGGCTCGAGTTCCTTGCTTTTGTTGAGATAACCTTCCGCCTCCTCAAGCTTCGCTGTCCTTGCTCCCGGGTCCTGATGCTCAAACTGATAGCACACCCAACCGAGTTCCCGCAAAACAGTTGCTCGGTCAGATACGGCTGGGCTAGGAGTACTCTGCCCGGTTGCTGTTGCTCCTCCAAGTTCTTCTTCTAGCTTTCTAAACAATTTCTTAATCTCAATCCCTAAGCCATTCAACCCACTTCAAGTCGTCGTACGCCTTCTGAAGATCCCCGCTAAGGGAATGGCAGAGGGCGATGCAGATCCGGAGCTGGGTTTTCGTATGAAACCACGAATCCCTGCAGTCCGAGAAGGCGCACGTGTAGTGCTGAAAAAGGGTTTATGATGAATCAATGAATTTTAGGAGTGGCGGTAGATAACTTAAATTAATCGACTACGTCAATACCGGGAAACTTCCCGAGACTGCTCCCCCACACCGAAGTGCCATAGCAATTAGCCTCGTCTCGCCGTACTCCCGCTTATCGCCCCGCAGTTTTTGCAGACCCCCGGAAATTGCTCCGGACGACCCCCGGCTCTCGGCACATGTTGCGCTCATACTCCCCAACTAACAAAAAAAAAATACATAAAACCCACTACCCGGATTAGTACCAGCCGGGTCGAGCCGGGCTCAAAAACGGGGGGTTGGATAAAGCGATTAGTCTAGGGATGCACCTGAGTGGGTGGGAAAATTGGAACAATGCCAGTGAAAGCGAAAAAGATGAGGCGTGAGGAGTGGGAGTTACAGAAGTACGACCAGGAACGTGTGATGTTTCTCTAAGATTAGATGATATTCCAGGGAAAATGATCCTATTGAGGTCACCCTGGGAAGCGGATTTTGAGGAGGTTATGTTTTGGTTCTTAGAAGTAAAAATTTCTTGGAAAGTGGTTGCTGTTTGGTTGGGTAAATAAAAACTAATGGAGGAGGAAGGAAGGAAGGAATCTGATGGAGGGCAGATTTAATTATAATTTTTAAGTTGGCACGTCATTATGAAGTATGCAAATACATATTTTAGATAAATAGATCATAAAAACGCAGTCAATCAATCGACCCATTTAGCCTATGTATACTATGGGAGATGATGTGTAAGCAACCAGCGAGCGAACGGGGGAACACGTAGAGCAGGGCGAGCCCCTGGGAGCAAGGTGATTCAAAACGAGGGCAATGCCAAAGAATGTCTGCAGCCAAGGGGTGAGACGGAAAAGGTCGTGCTAAGGAAAGGGTAGAGGAATGGAAGGAGGACGAGGAGCGGAGGAATAGACATCGCGAACATCGGCCTGGCACGGCCACCCAAAAGCCCTTTTTGCTACCCCAACACCCGCGTAGAAAGCAAGAAAAAACGCTAGAGAACGTCGTGTGGGTCCGATGTTCGAGATACGTATCAATCTTTGCAACTAATGTAGCCAATAATAGAATTGCACTCATAAAATTCTAGTATAGATAAAGGGATCTCTTCGCCATAGGCAAATCGCCGCTTCAATCGAGATGCTTAACCGACCGTCATCTCGCTTACGATCTACGCCCCAGCCGGCACTTCTGCTTTTCAGTCCTCACGCTTCAACCCCGAGTGCACGCGTCGGGAAAGGGCAGGGCTGTTTTTTCAGTGTGGTTTTTCGTGGGGGTATTGGGAGGTACGGGGCAGAACTTGTTATGGGTTGCTAAATAGGTCTCTAAATGAGGATAAGGCGACTTGAAGTTGAAATATGATGAAGTCATGGGCACAGTAGTTAGAAAATTTACATCATGGCACCATAATGGCAGGTAAACGAGCTAACGTAATCTAACACAGAACGCTTTCAGAAGTTTAATTAACTAATCAAAAATGGCCCAAATATCAATAAAGTCCGTTCGTTTCCAAGAAGTCAAGAATTGAAAGACCAACGAGGATGGATGAATAGATGGATGTGTGGGTTGTGTGGCCGGGTGGGGAGGGCCGTGTTTCTGGACGGTCCAGCTGGCACCATTGAGCATGTGTGCCTGCAGGCAGCAGTACGCTCTTTTGGCTCTTTGCCAGCACCCCCTCCTCACACCGACGTCCAAATATCGACCCTTGCTAGCCTTCCTCTTTGCCCCGTCAGAAAGCACCCCAGGCCACACGACCCACCCTCCTCCCACCATTCGCACCAACCCCTCTCATCCTCCCCTTCCCTTCTCTTCCTCTCTCCTCCTCACCCTCCACCCGAGCGTCCCCCTCCCCACCCCGAAAAACTCGCCGCAGAAATGGAAAAACAACGCGCACCAATCGCGGGGAATGATTTGAATTTGGTGCCCCTGAGAAGAAGTTCGTGTACCGTACCCCCAGGAAAAGTGCAAGGCCAAAAAAGCGCCCCGGGGTTCTACAAGCATTCCAATGTGGGACGACAAAACTCAAATTAATAATCCACGAATAAAAATAAATTGAAAATTGTGATTTGAATTTGTTATCTATGGGGAAATTGAACCACGCTACCGCGAGAAAGGTGAGGGCCAAAAATACAGTGATATTTAAATGGTGTTGGGGAACACTTCAAATTAAGCATTCAAAAATAAATTATTTTATATAAATAAAAATTGCTTACCTTTAACGCGAGCCCGTACTGCTCGAGGTGCTTGAAAGAGGAACCGAGCCGGCAGTGGATGTCGGGGACAATGTCCAACTCCGGGAAATAGTAGAGTTGGGTGTTGAATGCTTCGATTGCCCTGAAAAAAAACGTCAACATCTGCATAAAATTATTCTGGCCATTAGTACTAAAAATTTGGTTTAATAAAATTTTGGAGATTCTTGGGGTCAAAAAAAAATCAACTTTATGTAACTTATGTCGGTTTTGCAAGTAGTATCTATATCAACGCAGTGTTACCTCAAAAATCGAGTTTAGTTATGGCAGAAAATGAGAGAAAGAATATTTTGGGATCTGTTTTTGGTAGCCGATTTCAGGGGGGGGGGGGGGAAGGGAGAAGAAAAATGAGAAGGAAATGGTTTTTCCACTAAGCTCAAAATCGAGCAAATCGATGAACCGATTATGCTACTAAATTACGAATACTCAAAGATCAAGATCAAAGTGGATAGTATGGACGTGTGATGATGGTATGCCTGCTACCCCGACAAATGTGAATGAGTATTTGCCGAGAGCCCAGAGGGCACAACCCTCGTGGCTGGCGTTGGTTCGAGGTCAAAGCAAGAGGAGGGCGGTTGAGGGGGTGACGGTGTCGTCCGTCCCCTTCCTCATCGATCCCATCCGTCCACTACACCAACCCATACCCCCCAAGGCCCTCTACCACCAAAAGACAGGCAGGCCACAGGCTAGCGTCTACATAAAAAACAGCCCACCAGCCAGTGACAGCAACCAACCGACCACCACTACCACCCTGGCTGGAATAGTGTAATTGGTTCGAGGGATCCTATAGCCTGTGCAATCACTAAATCAAAAATCCTCTCCTTAAAATTAAAGCCTTTCAAAATGGTTAATCTCTTTAGAATTTCCAGGTGATTTCGTATGTAAATTTGTCGAACAGCTGATTTTTTCAGTCCTTTTCAAAGACATGATTTTTCAGACGTTGGTTTTTGATTAGGTCATTTTCGGGATGATGGTTTCCGATTAAACGTTTTCAGCCAAATGATAGGAAATGGCTTAGAGCTATTGCCAAACCAAATTCTTTTCTCCTTTTCCTTTTAAATATTTTGCCAGATGCCTCAAATCGAATTATTGAACTCCAGGGCGTAAATTGGACCACAATTCTTACTTCATGGATCCGCCTAGTGGTCAGAAGTACATGAAAGTTCGTAGCATGGTTTCCTAACCCCTTTAGACTAACACAGAAAATTTTGCCCCCCCCCCCCCAACTGGAATAGTACCGCTTAGCAACAAAGCACACCCCCTTTAAATTTTTGGTCTGGAGAATGAACCGACTCAATTACACTGTTGAATAGTAAGGAGTAGACCGGAGAAACAGCTGTTATGTATGAGGTGTAAATGGACGCCCCCCCGAAACGACAATATCCCGACCACTCTAATGCAACGAGGTAGACCTACCAAGGAAAATATACTGTTTTTAGTCAAGTAAATATTTCATATGCAATTCGTCCCTAATTCACTTAATGCATCTAATCGGTGGCAAAACGTCCATAAAATGAGTGCAGGAAAAAAAAGAGAAAACGTCCGATAGAGTGGAATAAAAAGCACTAGGGTTCAAAAGTATTCTACAAAAATTTCAATCAACCAGAAATTGATTGATTGAAACGAAGGAATTTAGAAGAAGTTGTAATCAAATGGTACATATACATTGACATAAACATTATTTTTAAGGAAAAGTACTTACAATTTGAACTTCTTGAAGTGAAAGTAGACCAATCCAAGCCCGAAATAAGCACCGGAATGGCGAGCAAATTCTTCTTTGCTGAGACGGAAGCAATATTTGTATGCAGAATGTGCTGAAAAATGTATATTGAAAATGCTTATTTTAAAAACAGCAACAAGTTTTTTATTCGAATTTTATTTTGTAACTGTATATTTTGCCGTAAGAAAGAAATTGAAAGAATTTGCTTTTGGAAGTTGATAAAGATATTCATAACTGTTTCGCCCGTCTTTCGCGAGACAAGAAGGGTCAGATCTGTCAATAAATGGAACTATCAAACCATGGTTCAAATAAATGCTATTTTTCTGTAAATTTGCAGGTTTTCTCAATCTCTACGTCGCAAGCCACCCATGACTCAAATCCCCATATTTGAACAAAAATTTAGATATTGAAATTGTGGTATGACAATAGCATCCTTCCTATCTGGTAAACTGTTGTAACATGGTAAAATCGAGAAAGTCGACACGCTTTTAAAACTCAAAAGCAGCCATTTGAATATGATGGGAGATGATCGATCAAATCGTATCGAGCATTGTCTTTCCAAAAGGTGTTTCGTTTAAAAGGCCAAGAGCAGCTGTGGGTCCAAATTATCAATTTCGCAAGGACGCAAAATAAATCATACACCGACCTCTACACCAATCATGCGCCAATAACGTGACATGGCCCATCGACATCATGCGCCGAAAAAGTATCTTCACCCAGCGCCGCTTTTTCTTCGCATTCTCCCAGATTTCAGGCGTTCGTATCCGTTCCTCGATGTAGTTAATCTCAGCTTCTCTCCTTTTAAAGCCCTGCAAAAACTTGTTGCTATTCCTAGATTCAGACTTACGCGATAGAGGATTTCCTTCTCTTCATGGCTCGTTGGGTCACCATTATTATAGAAGTCATTCCACATCAACCTAAAAAATATTCAAAATTTATAGATTTCAATGATTTTTAACGGAAATTAGCTTTTCCTGAATGAACTTACGATGATAATGCTTCTAGCCTTTCCCGTTGTGTTTTCGTCATCGTGGGAACGGTCGGAGTATCGGTTTGTTCCAACCAATTTTTCCAAGTCATCGGTCCAGCTTGCACATCGTCGGCATATATAACATTAGGCCATGGATCTTCCTCATCCTTGGCCAATGCCTGTAACATTCGTGATCAAAAGGTTAAATATAAAACAAAACAAAAGCGCGTCTTATCCAATACAACTTACGGATAAGATTTCCGGCCTCGCTGGCGTAGCTGTGTTTGGCTCATCAGTGTCCATTTGCTCATCGGCGGGTTCAGACTTGACAATGTCTTCCTCCATTGGTTCTGATGAATGTGAAGGCTGAAACAAGAAAGAATATTGATTGTAAACGGCGCCATAACAGTTAATATTCTAAGAAACATGCAAAATACATTTTAAAAATAAAGAACCCACTTGCCCCTCAGACATTTGACTTGCAGAAGCGCGTCCAGAAGAACTGTGATCGTCCTTCACATCATGGTGCCCATTTTCATTGGCATGTCCATTTAGCGTTTCAGCTTCATCAGCCACGTCTGAGTCGCCTCCGGAATTGCCCAGGCTCATCTGCAAAGTTTCCAACATTGCGCGGATTTTGTGAGGCCTAGGCTGCCTGAAATAGGCAACAAAGTATGGTAATAACACCCGGAAGTAATAAACAACAGTCAGAACCAAAAATCAAAAAGGAATTAAAAAGTTAAAGCAAGTTTAACCGATCGATCTCATTGTATAATAGCGACGCGTTGACGCTGTGGCCTGGTAGCCCGAGGGGCTACGTCGATAGGAATGGCGGGTAGGGGTAGGGATGGCGGGCAATGCACAACAAGGATCAGCTGTGCGATGAGTAAAAACGTGGGGGGAATGCATTAATGTGTGAAATTTGGGGTGGGGAGTCTGCAATCAATATCATTCAAATTTTTGTGGGGCTGCGGAAGGTAATTATTGAGAACAACTTCCGGCAGATAAAGGTTAGAGTGAAAATTTCGGATCGGAGATGCGAAAACTCGGAAATTTGCAAAGCGAAGAAAATGGTGGCAATTTGATAGTATTGCCTATGAATCACGAGCTGAGAATTCAAATACTGACTCGGCGGAAAAGTAATTAGATTTATAATAGCTCAAGTTATCTTGGGGTATACCAGAAGTAACCTTACATAAAATAAATAGTAGCAACGTAGTTTACCATCCTGAAAGTTCTTACTCGTGACCTAAGCAGAAAGATACAGATTTTCATGATTTCCACTACTTTTATTAATCACGACTTTTGCAAAACATAGTCCAAAAATTTGCAAGCGCCTAAAGGTTTCGAGTTGGTAGACAGAATCACTGACACACCCAGAAATCGTCAGAACAGAGAGGACACTGTGGCACTTCTAGTCTTTCTGGTCTTATCGCGCCGTTGATAGTTTATAAGCGCTCTCCCCGATCCTGAGTACTCACAATCGCCGCTAGAATAAACTAAAAATGTACTCTGAGGTTGGGATTATTATTTTCTAACCCCCGCCCTTCTTAGCTTGTCGAATCGCAGCGTGAATATTTCAAATCCGGGGCTACGCTATGTTTGGAAAAGCGGAAGGAGACGTTGCAAAAGGTGAAAGAGATGCTGCAGGAGAATAAGGAAAAGCTGTCAAAGGCCATTTATGCAGATTTGCATAGGGTTTGTCGAGATTTGATGAAGAAGGTTTATCGCTAAGGTTTTAGGATGGCGGTTTAGAGGTAGATAAGACTGTAGAAGAAGCTGATTTGGCTATTCGGAAGCTGGATGAATGGGCAAAGCCGATCCCGGTAATTTACATTGCAACATTTTATAATATTTTGAGAGCCAAATCTAGCTTTTACTCTAGTAGTTCCATCTATGAATTCAAGTAAAATTTCCACTTTTTAGTTCGCAAACGGCGAGCGATTTGTCGATGGAGAAGACGATCTATTTATGGGTAATCAGGGACTCACAGAACAAAAATTTGCAAATATACAGTACCTGAACCGCTTGGCGTCGTGCTGGTCATTTCTCCATGGAACTACCCCTGCATTTGTTCGGCGCCATTCATCTCTGCGCTGGCTGCTGGTACGGGCATCACCTGAAATAACCAAAAAGTTCAGGAAATACTGCGATTCTCAAACCTTCCGAAATTGGCGCACATTTCGCTGCTGCTATTGCCGAAGCTGCTGAGGGACGATTTGATAAGGTACTGAAAAAAAGCCGAGGTTTTAGGTAAAGGATAATAAAAAACATGGAATGATAATGATTTTATGGTTTTAGAGATTATTCGCGGTCGTCCAGGGCGGCGTACCGGAAACGACCGAATTGCTGAAGGAGCACTTCGATCATATTTGCTATACCGGAAATCCAGGAGTGGCCAGAGTTGGTTTTTGAACTGGGCAATTATCAGGTTTTTAGATCATAATGGCGGCCGCGGCAAAAAATCTCACGCCGGTTACTTTGGAATTGGGTGGGAAAAAGTAAGCATTGAAATTAAAAAAAAGCTTTTTTAATTGAGATTTTGCTATTTAATGTGTAATTATGTAATTATGTTTATTTTTACAGCCCGGTTTTGGTGACGGAAACGGCAGATCTCGCCGATGCCGCAAAGAAGATTGTTGTCGGAAAAGTGGCGAATTGCGGGCAAATTTGCTTGGCGCCGGATTATGTGAGTGGGCAAAAAGGACGAGGGGGAAAGTCCCCCCGGATGGATAGCCCGTGCGATTTCCTGTAAGAGGGAAGCGAGGCACGAAAAAAGTGTCCGCATCCTTGAATCAATGGGTTGTTGCGAGAAGGGGGCCCAGTCTGAAAAAAACGGGGGAAAGAGCGGATTGTCTGAATGGGCAGGGGAAGGAGGGAAAGGCGCTTTTCATACTTTCATTAAACAAGTAGCACACTGAAGCCATAAATCGGACTACAATGGATAAATCAAAATCGTAAAAATAATAATCAGTTTCAGATCCTGACAACCCCGGAAACCAAAGATTCCTTGGTGAAAGAGCTTGTGAACGCTTTTGAATCTTACGGCACCCTTGCTGCTAATCAAGAAAATGCACGTATCGTCAATCAGAACCACTACGAGTAAGTACATCACCCTCAAACAGAAAACGTTTGGGTGTCTTAGCCGCCTTAACCGTGTGCTTGGCGCATCGAAAGGCCATGTCCTCTATGCAAACCAAGAAAAAGCCGACCGAGAGGAAAAATTCTTCCCGCCACGAATCCTGGAGGTCGAGGATGGGGATGCCTTGCTCAAGGAAGAGGTAAACCATAATTTTAAAGCTGAAATATTTTTGTTTTTAGCTCTTCGGACCCATTCTCCCGATTCTAACTGTTGATTCGTTTGACAAGGCTGTGCGTTACATTCAGGACCACGACAAGCCGCTTGGAGCTTATGTATTTACTAAGGATGAAGAGCAAGCGAAACGGTGACTTAGTTATTCTTTCAATTTAATTGGCTTTTATAGATTTATTAAGCTAACGTCAAGTGGTGGAGTGTCGGTCAATGATGTGATGATCCAGGGCTCAAGTGAGTTTTCGGAATTTAATCTCGGCATTCAAGCTTTAAATAAGACAAAAAGAGGGAGATGATGTGTTTTCCGTATGAATGGCAATGCGATATGTGCGCTGATGTTTATGCAAAGCGAGAGATGGGTGTCTAAGATTGTGGGCGCTCCTTTTGTTACAACGTAATAGCAAGGGGCACCTCTCAACGTCTCCAATCAAATAACGAGAACACGAATTCAACAACCATCTACTACATAAAACATTTAATTTTGCTTTTCAGCTCGCCTAATGCCTTTCGGTGGTGTCGGCAACTCCGGAATGGGCCGGATCAAATGCGAATGGGGCTTCAGAACCTTCTCTCATGAAAAACCAGTCGTGATCAGAAACAAACTCGGACCGAAGGTCAAACCACTTGTCGGATTCTAACTATAATGTTTGCCAACGTGTAATCGTATGTCCCCGGTGAAATTAACTGATTTATCGTTTACATGATGAATAAATGGTTCTTTCGAAATATGATAGGGTGGCTGAAATTACATCGATGTTTCCTGAGCAAAGGCGATAATCCGGATCAATCCGAGATCACAGTCATGGATATTCATATTTGAGAGCAAGAGGCGGCTAATAGAAGCGGAAGAGGGGCTAATAGAAAATATAAGCATATTTGGGAAAGCGGGTGCATAGGCAAATTTACAGCAAAAATGCATATTCTAATGCGATTGATTTCAGTTTAAACAACTGGAATATTTTTGCAAACTATAAAATTTCATTGCCGATTGTTGGATAACATCAGGGGTTTGCAACTGGTTCTACGGGCTTCTTCTTCTTTTTTATCTTCTTCTTTTTTTTCTTGATTGTTCGTTTCGGCGGTGTATCATCTACAATTGCTCGCGTTTCCATCTCCACGTCATAGATCTCGGGTCCTAAATAAATCCAAGTGTTCAAAAAGGTTTTATCTTAGGAAAATTCGAAAGGGGACTTTCAAACCTGGATATGGGAATAATGGTCGAAGATGCTCAAATGGCTTGCACATCCCGCATTCGGCATTCCGGCACTCGCGCCAGTGAGTTAGTAATTCGCGGCTTCGATGACAAATGATTACTAAAATATGTGTTTGATAAATTAGACTATTGATATTTTCTGTATATGACTGTCAAAATCTTTTGATTTAAAATTATTCACCCAGTAATTGTATAAAATTCAAAACAAAAAATTTACAGTTGCAATAATTCTCGCCCCAACATCCTTCCATATGGCTGAGCAGACATTTCACATGATAACAGAACGGAATTTTGCACGGCTTAGCTTTCGGCTGCAAAAATAATGGTTTAAGAAATAGAGCAAAAAAATACTTTGCATTTTTTGGCGTGAAGGAGTAAAACCAGACGCAGTTGTGGCTCGTGGTAGATATTATGCAAGATGCTCTAAAACATTTTATAATCCTGTTTTACACATTAATGATTCTACCAGAAGTCGTCGGCCACGTAGGGCTGCACTCATGTTTAGCAATCAATACCTAATTCTATTATTTCCTTCGAGTTCGCATTCCCACGTGAATCTGGAAAAAAAACCTTTTTTTCAAACCACGTAAAGATATTAGTGGTTCAAATTAAAAATTTTGGCAAAATATACTTGCGGGAAAAGATTTGATGCAATGTATGGCGATGGATCAGCTGACCAGCTCAGCGATAGATCACCTATTCGAAGTTGTAGATACGCCCGGGGGGCATGGAGGCGTGCAAAGGTGCTCCGTGTCGGCGTTCGTCCTAAGAAACGCGGTTCCCCTTCGGAAAACAGATCACAAAAATTTAAAAGAAAACTGGACTACTGACATAAAAAACGGCAAAACAAAAAGTTCCTAAAGTGTTTATGGAAGTTCCTAATTACGGTAATTACAAACATATATTTTTCCCAAAAGAGATTCCTATAAAAATTAGTGTTCAATCTCGGTTTAGCACCTATATAAAGATACATTTTCAAAAATAGAGTTTGTCCTGTCTGAATTTTTTGTAGAAAAGATGGAAAATAATATCTCAACACTCTCCTAAAAGAACTCAGCCGAAGGTTTCTAGCGCCATCTTCCAAGTGTGTTTTTCGCATTTTAGCTTAGCGCTGGTAACCCCATAATACTAATAATAGCCCGATAAAAGGTACACATCTCCCGGTAGGTTTTATCTATCTTTATCATGGTACATCAGCCTATCCACCTTAGCCCTGGCCAGACGAAACCGGCTGGTGCTAGAATCCAGACTTGGGTATGGATAAAGTGGCCCTAGGTATGGTGTAAATATTTGTATAGATCCTCTTATCGAATCGGGTGGATGTGCGAGATGCGCGCGCCTCGTCTCCGATAGGAAATCGGAACGGTGCGAGTTCTCGCACTCTCTTCACCCTCAACACTCATCCCAACCATCAGCCAGCCTCCCTATTTGCCATCAGAATACTTGACTGACGGTCGAGTAGTGGTGTGGATGCGAGACAGGGAGTGGAGGTCTATTATTCATTGCTACCACTATAGCCACCGAATAGTCGCTGGGGTACCACTTCACCTATTACCGTACACAATGGACGGTGCACACATTTCAGTGTGGAAGTGGGTACCGTACCAACAGCTGGCACGTATTGTTTTTTTTTGCTGGTTTTTGCTGCGTTTAACGGCTATTTGGATCTCTATGCGCCGTCCTTACCTTGCCCGGAGTTGTTTTTAGCCGATAATGGAGTTTCTGAGGTGAAATAGGTGACTCCGTAGAGCTTGAATTTCTAAAAAAATAACATTGAAACAAAATACATTTTTGAAAAATGGGTATATGTCGGCTACGCGGGGGGGGAAAATTTTACGCGGGGGGGACGGGACAGGCAGGCCTTTTTGGATGTTTTCGTTATTTTCTCGGAATTGTCGCAACGGCATTCGATAGAGCATCGAAAAATCTACTAAGAGTTTTTGTTTTAGCTAAAATTAGTGTAATATAAAAAAGTTATGGTAAATACAAAAATAAGCTTTGAAAATCGCTTTGAGCGGCTGTTTTTCGATATTCGCGCTATTTTTTTCGACATTTTAAATATGCCATTCGATAGAGCATGAAAAATATACTAAGAGTTTTAATTTTAGCTCAAAATAATGTAATATAAAATAGTTATAACAAAAACAAGTATTAAACGTTGTTTCCATGGAGGACATAGAAGGAAATCAAGTTTTCGACATTTTCGAAATTTTTTACAAAATTTCTTGAGTGCCATTCGACAGAGCGCCAAAAAATATACTAAGAGTTTTGTTTGTTGCAAAAAGAAACGCAAAAAATAGTTAGCTCGGCCCCAACAGTCCGTCCCCCCCGCGTAAAATTCCCCCGCGTAGCCGACATATACCGAAAAATGTCCCGCAATGATGGGCTTAGAAAAACTTCATTCTGAAAAAGCGTCGCGGCTACGATTTACCTTTTCACAAAATTTTCGAGATTAAAAACAGTTGTGATATAAATAAGTTACAGCATAAACAAGAGTAGCCTATGAAAATGGTGTCAAATTGTTAGTTCTGGATATTTTTGCAATTTTTTTGGCACTTTCGATATGCCATTGGATAGAGCATCAAAAATATACAGCGTTTTACGGCAGCCCAAAATAAAGTAATGTAAAATACTCTTAAACCGCTTAAAGAATGGACCCGGCCAAGTCATAAGCAAAGCTTTAGCTATAAGCTAAAAATTACTAGCACCAACCGTTCCTCATAAATTTTGACGAACCCCATCCCAATTCCCCCGGAATGCCTCCGGAACGAAGGTGGAACAGTTGGCCCTCGCCATCGGCTCATTACCACTTCGCGTGTTGCACACAAAGTAGCGCCCCGACGATGGGGGGCTTCACCATGCCAGAAGGAATGAGCCGAAATTTGCCAAGGGCCAACCCCCGGCTCATCATCGATCTATATAGCTTTCGAGTTTGCCGACTCACACTTTCTCTACAACGTCGCCCAATATATTTTCCCACGTATTGCTGAATGTGAATGATTGTGGCGGAAATGGGAACGCGGTACCCAGATGGTCGCCGAACCGCAAAAACGATCATTCCCTCCCGTGGGTCGTTGGTCTCGATTGGGCCACAAAGTTATTGAAAGAGGGGGGCAGGGTCGCTCGAAGGGCCGTAAACTTCCGTTATTTCAGTTTTGTCTGTTCCAGAGATAGGTCGAGTTCCTCTCTTTTCAATTTCTTAGTCACCAAATGAATAATTCTTTTTTACTTCGGCCTCCTCATAGCTCTACTTCCATGGTATTCTAAGCAAAAGACTTACCTTTGCAGTAGGTTTTAGGGTACGAGGTTGTCTCAGTTAGCTAGGGTATCCTGCATTCGTTCGCCGGACGCCCGGAAAAATCCCTTGCTAACATGGTTAGCGAGCGGATCGCCGGAGTGCCGTCGGTGTCATAATTGGTCGGCACCCTGGCTGGGGAGTCGCGATACACCATTTTACTTGCTTTGTGCTTTGACTTTAGCCTAGGGTCCGATTATTACAACAAAAACACCTTGCTTTTGCGCAATAAGGTATACTGCCAGGTTTGCGCGTCGTAATGGATGAAATGGAGGGCATGTTCGATTGAAAAAAAGTAATTATCATAATATCTGCTAGTCTTCCGCCCATTTTAATAGAACCTTCGAATTGTTTACAAATGTCCGATTAGAATTATAAAATTCGCAAAATGCTTTTGCGTACGCTTTGCGGTGTGATAGTAGGTAATTTAAATACTTAAGCTGCTAAAAATACAACAAATTCTGAAACTTAAAAATGGAGTCCTTCCCTCAAATACAACCTTTCGGAGTGATTAAAAATATCAAAATAAAAGTTATACTATGGCTTTAAATTTTATGTCAATTTAATTATCTGTTATCCATTTTTTGCGAACGCTTAGAGTCGTCCATAAGTTATTATTATATACTTTTATTTCCCAATACCTAACACCACGTTAGTCTCCACAAAATTCTCCTCCCCAAAATTCCCAGGGATTGCTCCCATTCTGGACGCGCTAATCCACATACGGGGGTGGGGGGGGGGTCATTCATCCCAGAAAATAAGGCGATGCGCCACAATAAATAGTTTGACGCGGCGTTCTCACAGTGTATTTACGTGTGTGGATGTGTGTCTATGGCTATGTCGTTGTGTCCTTGTTCTGCTACTACGCGTCCAGGGGGCAAGTGGCGGCAATCCGCGTGGACAAGGGACGGCATAATAGGCGGCTTTGTTTCGGGCCGTTTCGGGCCGTCGTCCCTCTGCAGTGTGCCCTCGCTCGTTCGTTCCAAATGTTTCCATTTCCAACATAATTGTCGTGGGGGTGGGTATGGCCTTCAAACCGCAAAACTTGTCATCCGGTGTATGGGTGTGGGGTAGTGGGGGTACGAGCACCAATGGACCGTCAAGTGGGAGGGTCTATTGGGGGATTGTTGTTCTACAGTGTTGTGACTCTTTGGCTTTTCAATTGGTTGTTTATTGTTGTTTCTGACTTTTATCTTTCAGAGATAGCCAATACTCGCCTAACATTAATTGGCTAGATGACAAGGCGGTTAGTGTGCAGCAAGAAATTTAACTATAGAATATTGCGATTGGTACGATCTAAAAATACGGTTTTCTGTCGTGATCTTCGGATTCAAAATTCATCAAAAAAATACGGCTTAGTTAAATTCTTAAGCGTTTGCGTCAAAGACCATGCTCTAAGAATTCAAAAATACTTTTTGTTTTGGCAATTTCATTCCAAAGTTATCGGCTTTTAAATTTTCTTCCGATATATTTTTTTTTGTTGTGTAATTTGTTGATTTTTATCTACCGCTAATATCTTGAGATCTTTAATCCATGTCATTATTGCACTTGGTGCAAACTTACACTCCCATTGTCACTAATTCTACCAATTGACCGGATTTTCCTGTGGCTTTTCTAGCTTAAAATGACTACATCCAACCCCTCCCCACCCTTCATTCCGTTGCACACATACTGACAGCACATATTTTTGGGGGATCATCTTGGCCCACCCCAGGCCTTCCTTCCACCCCCAATCCCTTACCTGATTTGCATACTCCTTGGCAGCTCTCCCAGGAGGCGCATCAGCACTCCGGGAAACGCTCATCGCCTTTTCTTCCCACTTATGCGCCCACTGGCTCTCCGAGGCATGCATCATTCGTATGCACAATAGGAAATTGGAGCCCGGCCCGTGCACCGGGTTTTTCGGCTCGTGGCGGAGAAGTAGTAGGCTTCTGCCTGGCGTGGAAGTCGTGATAGCTATTTGCGATTGGTACAAATTGGTTCTAGACTTCCGGCTACTGTAGCTTGGTTTTGGAAAGAGGCCGCATTGTCCTTTCCCGCACTACTCACCCATCCCCCATTTCTCCATCCACTACCCATCTTCAAATCCACAGAAATAGCTTTCCATCCAATTACCCCCTTACCCACCATATTGCCACCCCCGGAAAGACCCAAACTTTAACCCCTCCTGAAGCTTCTATTAGGCCCATCCGCCCGCTACCTCC